GTCTATCTCAACAAAATCTGAATACCATATAGTCGATCGTCAATTTGCAAAATATTCATGCATCAAATCAAACTGGACTGTTTCTGTTGCATACACCAATCCATTGTCTCCCATTCCATTGTTCATGCATTTTCTTACAAATTCCAATGTGTTCTCGCTCTACCTTTCTTGATCTTCGCCATCTTCCGCTGCCAGACATTACGTTCTTTTAACGCACGTTATATACTACTTATTTCAATATAAGTAGCTCACACCACAATACCTGAGTGATATTTTTTCCGATTGGTATAGACACCTAATAACACTCGATTGTCACAATAGGAAGAATATTCCTATCAATCAAGAAATAATATCCTACTCAGAGAATAAGAGTAGGTCAATTCAAATTGCGTCAAATATGAGCGATCAACTAGAAAACGATAGTTATATAAAAAAATAAAATTAATTATCAATGAATCTTTAAAATCAAACAAGGAATATGGATCAAAATCAACCTTACAAATCAGCGACTATCAATTAATAAAGTATCAACAAAAGTGTGTCAGTGCAATATGACGATGCCCATAAAAATAATCTTAAGTAAAATAAAGTCAAAACAGTTATTGAAAGATTCAACAACACCCGGGAAATAGAATTGGAATTTGTAGACGATAAAGTAATCATAACTATAATCAATCGCAAGAATAAGAATCAATATACAAAATACAAACAACAATAAGCAAAAAAATACATACCACAAAGAAATACAAAGGACTAGTCACAAGATAAAACAGATACGAAGAGATTTTCTCCATATTCGCACATGAGCATATACAAATGGGTCGTAAATTATTATTATTACTTAACTTATGAAGACTGATAAAGTTCGAATAAATTAGTATTTTTAGACAGTAGTTAGCTACTATGCATCTTGATTTGCAAACATTTAGGTAGTATGACATCTTTTTTTAACTATATAATATATTTGATGAATATATTCCACTGGTGGAACAGCCGGTAATTTCTCCAATGAATCAAGATGGAAGAAATTGTTACCAACTATAGTAGTAATTAAGTTTGAATTTACAAGTAATTAGCTTAACAATAAACGCGTTACTACTTGAAATTAACATAAATAATTAGTCAGTTAAAATAAATCAAAAACAAGAGTTTATTGCAACATACATACAGTAGTCGTACCCGTCTTAAATTAGTTTCAATATTTAGCAACTTTGCAACAATCACAGTAAATTAACAATTTAGTACAGTCCTAAATATTTGAATGTCTGCTCTAAAAAAAATTTGTAAGATTTTCATTTCATTCGACTTGTCAGACACCAGTAATCAGCAGTCATAGAATATTGTCAATTATGTTTTTATTGCATTCTTAAAGATTAGTGATCAGTAGATACATTTCTCATCAGTCCGTATTATGTATTAGATAGCTAGAAACTTTAAGAATAAGATTTTCGTCTGTCTTTTGAGAATTTATTATTAAGCAAAATAAATATTATTGAAAACAATGTTATTTTCAAGGTGAATTTCATATTAGTTATGATTTTCGATTCAGTAAAGATTCTTATCTTTTACTCATTATCAATATAATATGTTGAGTACCTAAAAAATGATGCGTCCAGCGATTCAGAAATGTCCAGTTCAGAAACATGCCCCGTCGTGGGTTCAAATCCCACTGTGCCCGAAACGTGTGAGGTATACAGCTCACAAGAAGAATCCCTCGTGTCAGAAAACGTATCCCATGCATCAAATAATGGTCAGAAATCTAATACAAATTTCAAAAATGCTGTTTATTTTAGTGATCTGTTATCCATTGATGGAATTTCGAAGAGGTCTGATGAATATGTTCCACAAGAATCAAACCTTAATGACCTCATGTCTGGTGTCGCTAATCTTCATCATCTAGTCAGTTTTAGTGAACCCTCTACTCAATGCGCGAAATATGCTTCAAATAGAATCAGACTAACTGTTACTTGGGTATATGGGGACCCTACATTATTTCGCGGGGGAGGACGGACACAGAAAATTTTAAAATCCGGATATCAACTCCGGTTCCTCAAAAAAGATGGGGAGGTGTTAGGATGTGCAGGAAAATATACCAATAGTTATCATGTTAAGTATAATGTTGTCCTCGGAAGTTAAATGTACATTTCCTATTGGTCGATATTTGCTTCACTTGTTTAATATTATGTAAATGTTGTTTTCTATTTTTATGGTACGATGTGGTCTGTTTGGTTAGTATATAAACAGAGTGTGTTTGAAATATAATGATTCATATCTCAGAGGCTGTGACTTTCGTTCTGGACTCAACTGGCTGGGATAGACAGGGAAGCAGGGCCAATCGGGACTCTAGGTCGTTCGTACGTGTCACTGAATTGATCGATATAAACGCTGCGCATCTAACCTGCAGTCTCACTCATTACAACACTACCATTTACTTTAGCAAACCAGCTTTAACTCATATTCCTTATTGTCGTTATTTATTGTGAAGGCATTGAGAAAAATTAGATTAATTAAAATTTTTGTCTAAAGTCAAGTTAAAAATACTCTTAGCTTCAACCATAAAGATAATATGATTATTAAACTCAGTGAATAACTTTTCAGATACCTGAATATGAACTACACTCTGTGTGGGAGCTGATTTTATTACTCGATTCATTGAATCGAAGTAAAAACTTTAAAAATGGTCTCATATAGTTTTTATGCTGAAATGGATGGTGACTAATATCTAAATCCAAGATGTGCGGCTCGTCTTATTTGAGATTTAGTGACTGAATGTACCTTCATCATAGAGTTGATGTCAATCTCAGAACTCGAACGCGGTACCGTCCACATCAAATGCCAACGAGTTATCCACTTAGCTACCGGAATAAAATTTTAATATACACAAATGAATTCAAATTCAATTGAAAGTTTCCATGAGAAATGATTTTTCTGTAAATACTATTGATATTGATTATTTATTTCATATGATCTCAATTCATTTTAAGGTCAAGGGCGTTTTTTCAGAATTTCAGACAGACTTTGATTTAGCAAATAAAATTAGAAACCTACAGATTAAAGTGATGTAATTTAAAAATTTAATAATTAGTTGCTATCATCTAGCAAAAAAAATTTGGTTTCTAAATTATCTCTGCATCGTTTGTTGGGAGTTGTCGATAACTCCTCAAAAGTCTCTAGCAACCAGATAAAGTGCTGGAGATACTAAACAATGAGCATTAATAAAAAGCTTCGGAGAGAAATCCAGAAAACAATAGATTATTTTCCCATTCTGACTGGAGTATTTTTAAAGTTATTATCCGTTTTGAAATGTTTCCCATAATTTTCTAGGATCCCGATATCACACAACACTGTAAGAACTTCCCATTTTTTGTGAATCATATAACCTTCGAGTCGAAGTTTATTCTATATATTTTCCCTAGTTTTCTGTGTGGAGTTCTTAGACATGACAAGTTGGGATCCAAGGATTTAAGTAGTATTTTAGTTATTTAATGCAACCAACTGACAACCACAGGAATTACAAGTCGGTGTTAGAGTCAATATTAGTCTACTTCTATTTAGATTGTAAGTAACAGGTTTCTCAAAAATTAAAATATCTAAAATAAAATCAAATTTCCTTTAGTTCATTTTCTTTTAGCTGCATTGTTTACTTCACCATGAAATAATGTATGTTGCCAGATATGTCGTGGTCGTAATAATATGTATACTCAGAACGGACATGATAGATGAATTTCAGGACATTTTATACACTAAGTTGTTCTCAATATGAGTTCTGCATATTCGAATAGAATTTCATGTTGTAGAAAACAGAGCCACTAGGAACAATCATAAAAACCTTCATAGTTCATTTAGTCAGAAAACTTAATTGCTAAGGAAAGCTCGAATTATCTTGTTTTGTCAACTCCTGTTTTGAAAGCTAACCTTCACGACAACTTTCAGGCTATTTCCGCAATGATCATAGCTATTCTTTGATTGGATGTTATCATTTTTAGTACGCTAACTTTGTTGTCCCAAGTTCGACAGGTGCTACTATAAAGAGACAATTCTTCCGTTCCAATTTCATTCAGATTATTAAGCTGTCTTGGATATCCCACCTTCAACTCGAAATGCTCTCACATGGCCACGTGTATACAACCACAGTTAAGGAAGCCCTACTCATTGCCTTCCCGTAGTAGGGGTGTTGCTTACGAAATTGAGAGGAAGAGAAGCAAATGTCCGGCGCTTTAACCGGGTCGGTGGACATAGAGTGTCCACCTAGGGGAGTTGGAAAACCCTGATTCCAAATCAATGGTGCACATGGGCTCCAGTATCCTAAAAGAACAATTGGCGTATGAACCAATCGTCGGTCATCGGCTACCATGGGACTGCATCTCCTTACGATGCTCCACTACCTTGTAGATCAGACCTTCAGATCGAAGGCTCCCGGTGTGGCCCCCTAAGAAAACCAGCTGCTTCGTTTTGTGCGCCTGAGCAGTATCAAAGCCCTCACATATATCAAATGAGATTTGTGTGGCGCATATGTATTTGGTGCCTTCTTGTACCAATATCTATGTGTTAAAATAAATAAATAATAAATAAATTCAACTCAGTATTACTATTATTATCATCACTTAATCTGGAAATTGTTTCACTTTGTCCAACTTTTTTTAATAAGTCAAAATGTTACATTCGTTTACATATATACTATATTTTTCAATATGAATATATCAATATTCTAACATAAACAAACGAGAAGGGCATATGAATTACATGAATTGCAGAGATGAAAACAAAAAAAATATGTTAGAAACAAAGGTAAGAACAAAAAATTAGAAGCGATAAAAAGTGAAGGAAAAATCAATCAACCAATCTGTATAATACAGATGTACATATGTTATCAGTATCTGATTCAATCTATTAATTGTACATTAAAATGAGAGTATATATATATATATATATATATATATATATATATATATATATATATATATATATATATATATATATATATATATATATATATAGTTTTAATTTGTTCATCTCATAGTGCCCAAAAATATACATAAAGAAATCAATACAGGAATGAAGAACAGTGCATTTGGTTTTGTGCAGATAAAGAGCAATAATTCGATAACAGGAAGAATTTACTGGGGTTTTTTTTACAATTAAACATTAATACATGAATCTCTCTAAAGAAAACTGATTGAGTAATATGCGAGAGAAAAAAAACGAAGGCAATAATAGATAACAAAGTAGAGGAAAACAAAGATAAACTTGGAATGAGCAATTTGCAAATTTCACAAATTATTATAACAATAACAAAGATATGTGGATTGATTGAAGATAATTGATAGAATAGTTTGTATACACAATAGTATGTGCAGAAAGAGAGAGAGAGAGGAAAATGTACGTAGAAACTTGAAGAGTAATACAACTAACGACAATTGATGTACTACAAAAACAAATAAGAACTAATCAGCAGTCAGTCACTAAACAGTAATCAATATTTTTAAAAAAAACTGACATAACAAATGCAAATTACTCTTTTTAATCAATAATATTAACACATTAAGAATTGATAGAGTTTGAATAGAGAAAGAAAGAAAAAAACAAGTGAGCAATCAAAACTGTTGATTACGACTAGAATATACATATAAAATAACTAATCATTCCAAAATGAATTTCTTAGCGAAAAGATTGATTTGATTTAATCAATCTTATTTCAGATTGTTTAATCCTGTTTCAACAATTAGATTATTTGTACGAAGCCATTATATTCTTAACGGAGTGTTTAGAGGGTGAACATTTGAAGATTTTATATGATTGTCTTGATATTATCATTGATATTGTGAGGATGATGGCAACAGTGTGGTTGTTGTTGGTGGTGGTAAACGATAATTACTGTCATCGATTGGGTTATGACCACGTCTAAAGTGAAGAGGTGGCCTGCTATTCGTTCGATTATTGATATTTCTAAATTCTTGATTCATTGAGGGATGCATAAACCCACTATACGAATGAGGATGAGAGGTGGGTGGTGGAGAATTGGGAGGTTCTTGAGATAATGTAGTATTAGTAGTAGTAGCGGTCGGTTTACTCGTAAATCTTTCAACAATACGTTTCGGATGTCTAGTCCATTTAATCATCGTCTCTGATGAACGATAAAGGAAGAAAAGTTTTGCCACTAGTTGTTCTTCTAATAATAATAAGTTATTTTCACGTACAAGATAAATTTCATGGCATAAATTCAAAATACGATCTACATGAGGTAATTCTTCAAGACGAATCACATAAGAAATATTACTGTACGCAGTACGTAGTAACCGACTTGCTAAAAATATGTATGCAGCGTACATACCAATGATACTGTAAAATAAGGAAAAGATAAATTAGGAAAAAAAGACATTATTAGAATGAATACATTTGAACACACAAAAAAACAGAAAACAAGTAGTATAAACCGTAAAACTAATAAAAAACGACCAATCATAATAAACAGACACGAACGTGATTAATAACAAAATGAGTGAGAGGTCATACTGGAAAGGTTACATTATTTCAATGATTATTTATCGTGAATGAGCTCAAATAACACTTGTTTGAGCAAAGCTTCTGCACTTTTCGGCACATCGTTTGATGAGAAAAAAGCACACAAATTAAAGGGTGAGAATACGGTATTCAGGTTGTCACGATTACACATAATGAACGCATCAACAACTTGATTTATCTTAGAAGTCTGATCAGCCCTAATTGGTTGGTGTCTGACGAAATCTCTACACAGATTATAAAGGCTCGTTCGGCTTTTGCCAACTTACATCACCTAGGGCGGAGAGATATCCGTCTATCAAATATGGAATAAGAATATTGCGCTGCAGTTTATTCTCTTTTACTTTACGGATGCGAAACATGACCATTAAGGGTAGAGGATACTCGTAAGTTGCTAGTATTTGATCACATATGTCTTAGAAACATTGCTTCTATCTGCTTGGATCACCGGGTAAGTAACAGTAAGGTTAGACTCAGGGTATTAGGTAATGTAGTAAATCAGTTGATCAGGTTGTAAACCTTCATCGACTGAGATGATTGAGCCACGTACTACTCATACCCAACCAGTGATTACCACGACGCATAATGCTGATTAGTGTTGGAGACTGTTAGAAGAAACTCAATAAATAAATCTCTTATCACTCTTAACTCATTAACTAGATACAAATAAACAAATTCGGCATCCAGGAACGTTTAAAACACGAGGTTCAGTAATGCTGCCCCAGTAGTTCAAGCTGAAGTAAGTAGCTGAAGCTACATAAGTAAATAAACTAACTGGACATTTTAAAGTACATGTTTTCATGTTATTTGGCTGTATTTGATAGATAGAAAGTAATGAACATACGTTTTGCACCAGCGAATATTCGTCAGAAAAGCTATCATCAAGAAACTTTCATTTCTTGTTTAGATTCATAGCTTCTCTTTAGTGTATGTGCTGATGATATTGTCTAAAGCTTCATTAAAAAAAACCCATCTAGCTCACAGAATACAAAACCTTCAAAAGTTAAGTATGAAACCAAAGTAGTAGTATTATATTTAATAATTTAAATGTGTTTATATATATCAAACTACAAAAAATAATGAACACGTAAAGAAATCAAAATACATGGTAATATTTTTTAACAAATACACTGATTTAAATTACCCATAGTTGTTGAATACTTTACCAAATAAGCTATCAGATACACGTTCATTGAAAGTGAGAATTGATAATACATTCGCTTCAACAGCATTATTACTTAATGTTGGATGTCGAATCACTTCAAAACATGGATCAGATGATGAACTACTATTAATTTTCTCTTTCAATTCCCACCATGCTTGATGACTTATTAAATCTTGATGTATATGAAAACTAACATTTACATAAGTTTGTGGATCACCAAGAAAAGCATAAGCACCACGAAGTTTATCTTTTTTAAGCAAAACATATCTCGGCAATACAGAATTCAATATAACAGAATCAATTCGAGATTGATGTGATCTTGTTAACATACTATAATTATTAGTATTATTATTCATTATAGATGTTCTATATAAAGAACTTTTATTAGAATCAGATAAAGGAAAGATAGAATTTGTAGAATTCAACACCATAAGTAATTGTAATTTTTCTGATGGTGATAGTTTACGACTAAATATATCTTCAACTGATGTGTGACTTGATTGAATTTCTTTTGTTGATCTACAAATAATAATAATAATGTTTTTTAAAAGTAAATAAATAAATAGACAAGGAAATTTATACTAATTTATAACTGTCTATGGAAATGTCATGTATTCAAATGAGCCATATCAAGAAGTTCAAAATTTAGAATTGATATTCAAGAGAATATCATAAGTTACAATGAAAAACATAAAGATGATACGACTTGAAATCACTTGTGTAGATGAAAATATATCTTCTATCATTTTTATACAAATCTTTTCAACCACATTACAGTTTAAATGAACTAATTTATTTGTTACTATTGAACTATAATTTCTATGTTTGGTTTCCCTTATCATTAATATATGTATTGCCACTTGACTTCGATTTTAATCTTGTTACTTTCCTCTTGTTGTGTTGTTGTGAAGCAAGTAACAACTTTATTTTGGGACCTATAGGCCTTATAACTAACTGATTATCACATAGATCTGTAGAATAAACACTAAATCGTGTAGCGTACCATTTGGTATACCCGTATTGTATCGAGTTTCTATCTGTTATGTGATTGGAAGTAATCGATAAGAAAGTCCATACCTATGTTTTGAGCTGGTTGGCATTTGCCATCAAGCCGTACCTGAAATCTTGTGATAATTTATGCTCTTTGAGGGATTCGAACCTGTATCACCCAGTGTTACAGTCTGAGAAGTAGCTACTGATCTCCTGTGGGACTGAGATATTTACAATTAATTGATTACTGAGTGACGATGGATGTTATGTTCTTTTAGTCCTTTTGGATCCTGATAGGATCCCACTGATCAAATTTGTGTTTAGGCAATAAAAACGAATAAATTCATGAAAACGAAAAAGCACGTAGAGTTGCTTCGCTCCACTTTATGATCTTTCAATATTAAATACTATCATTCAAATACTCAGTAACTATAGTAATCAGTGAAATTACATCAATAGTAAGTTCTCACTAGAAAATATATCTGACGGTGAAATGTTGCGAAGAGTGTTCACTTCTAGTACATTATCACTATAAATGATACTGTTCCTTTAGAACAATTTATTTATCCAATATACCAAGTTATACTATTATTACTACAGAGGGAATATAAGCATTTTAACAGACCTTTACACAAACCAATCAATTGTTACGAAAACAAATTTTCAATTTATCCTAACAGTTTGTGTCCATTTATGATTGACTAGACGAAGCATCTTCTACTCGTGCTTAGTCTTTTTCCCTACATATATATGGATATAAATCTGTCCATTATTTGACATATACAAAAGAAAACTGAACAACAACTCATTAACCCTAGAAGAATTCATGACAATTGAGGAAAACAAACCGGTAGATTAGACACATATTCTAGACAACTGATATTTAAATATAAATATATACAAACAGGAATGGATGAGTCGATTTTCGTTAACTGTAATAAATCGACTATAATTACCCCATAGAATAAGCTTTATGCACATAAAATATATCCTTAAGTGAAAATGAGTAACAGCAATTCACATCCCCTTTAATTCTAGATAGTATTTTGCAGTTCATTAAATTAAATTTTATTAGTATGGAGTTGAATGTCAACTTTGCCCTAGTTATCAAAAATTAAAATATAAAGAGGATTAACGATCTGTAAAGTTTTATCATTGACCTGTAGCATAATTAACAAATTGCAGAGATAAATTATAAGCAGTAAGTCAGTAATAATCAACGAAGAACCTAGAGTCGCTTTAAGTTGTTAGATTGGTAGGTATGCCCAAGTTCGAGAACTTCATAAAGAATGATTAACTGAGAAACACATCCATACACATCTGAAATCAGTATGTTTTTCGTGGGTTCGCTGTTCATTAGCTCTAATTAGGTGTTGAATGATTATTGAAGCTAATATTTTACACAAAATATTAGTCGAAATGATTCTTCGGTGGTTATCACAAGACATTTTTATCTCTTTCTTATGAACTGGGACGATCAGTGATCAAAGCGTTTAGTCTCCAGACTTAAGTTAGTAACTCAGTCAATCTAACTCCTAAAACTGGATCCTTATTCTTGAAGGTCTCTGGAATTAATCTATCAGGGTCCAATGTTTATCGTCGCTTTACACTATGACTTTTTTAACTGCCAAATGGCTTATCTTTTGTTCTAGTTGTTTTGGAATATTGGATAACCAGATGGTAGCTGAAGAACAGTTGTACTGTTTGCTTGAAGTGTTCCACTCGTTATACCAATTATCTGAGCTAAGCGTAGATCATGGTCCTGTTTTTTTTCCTGATAGACAATTGATATTTTAATGCCTATTTCTTTGATAAGTGCGAAATGTTGTCAACTATTCTCCATTTCATCTGCCTTTTTATTTACCTTTGCCTTCATTGCCCACCATTTTCCATGATCATAGTGTAACAAAAAGGAAATTCAATACATACATAAAGAACCAAACAATAGAAAAATATTAAAATAACAGTACCTGCGACATTTCATATGAAAATGTAATAGTAAATCTGATTCAGGTGAACGTAATTTCATTAATAATGCTTGATATGACGGTGGTGTGATAGCCCAGATATTACCAGAAAAACCATCGATTGTCACATAGCGTAGATCATTCCATTCAAAATTATGTAGAAACCCAAATGTTTGCTAGAAAAAATATCGAAAAGCAAAAAAACATCTTCAGATTTCATTATAACACAAATATTTAAAAGATACTGACGTAGACTAGCAAAGAAGATTGGGGTCTGTAAAACCGATTTCCAGATTTACAACTTCTATGATATGATCATTGATAGTATGCAGCTAAACAAGTACAGATGTTTGTGGCATGGATCGTAAAAGTAAAGTCCACAAAGTGAAAGCCGAATCCTCTGGATTCACTCAAGTCCTAATCTAATTTGCAAATAACGTACAATATGACAATAATACCAATACGATAAAGCAACAAAACACGATTCATAATGAAATATTGAGATAAACCAATTGGTTAGGGATTAAATTTAAAAATTCAATTTAGTTTGTTGCTTCTTTAAAGATCATCGAATACAAATAAGTGTTTGGAAAATGAGTGTGTATGGACATAAAAATATGATAAACTCTATAAATCGCTACTAGGAACGGGAAACAGTCATTTATAGCAACTGTCGTCGGTCTGTGTGACTACCATAACCATTGGTTAGAGAGAGAGAATTTGGGTAACACGACTCAAAATCGTTCGCAGTGAAGCAGGTGTACCCGTGCTTTATCTTAGATCCTCAGTTTCTAAATCTCATCATGCTATATCTTAATTCCCTCCAATAACCTACCACAACGTAACATCAAATAGGTCATATCCGAAGCTTAAACAGCGTATTTATGTATTCAATCATTAAAACACGGAAATTGATGAGAACTAAATTTATAAGAAGTACGTGTAGACCAAATGAATACTTGAATGATAAGTTATAAATCACATATAAACAAACTACTGACCAAATTTATTTAGTCAATGAATACGGTAAGGTTACTAGTTATGTGATTAGGTCATTTCAGTGAATTTGATAAAATTGAACTTAAACCATCTTTTTTTACATCGAACAAAACTTTTTACCTTGTCTTTTTCGTGACAACGAATAAAATTGTTTAATTCAGGCGAATTTACAGTGAATATATTCCCTTCGCGTGAAGTAAACTCGAATGTAGGCTGTTGAATAAAGTAAATAAATTTTGATCAAACAAGAGAAAGTGAATTGAAGCAACAAACAGTAATCCTTTAAATGTTCTTTATAGTTTGGATTACTGTGAATAAACTCCAACTAATGAATTCTTAAACATAAAAATTGAAAGTATAGGATAAATTTTGCTTAAGATTTATTAAAACAATGAATTAATACAGGTAGGATGGTCGGAGAATTGGTGAGATAGTTTTGTGTGAAAGCCTGTGGAAACAGATTACATGAAAGAATTGCGGCGCAATATTCTCATTCCATATTTGATAGACGGATATCTCTCCTTCGTCACAAGAGACGTAAGTTGGCAAAAGCCAAACGAGCTTTCTAAATCCGTGCAGAGATTTCGTCAGATACCAACCGATTAGGGTTGATCAGACTTTCAAGGTAAATGAGGTTGTCGACACGTCCGATTACTTCACTCCCTATCCTTAGTTCAGGTGTTGACGCAGGCCAGTCCTGAAGCAACAACTTGCATTTAGATGGCAAGAAACCCATCCCAAACATCGACGCATTGTCGCTCAATGCTACCAAAAGACTCTGCATTTTATCAGCGTCTTTACCAAATAGGACTATATTATCTGCCTACTCTAAATCGATAAGTGAACCTCCTGGTATGAGATGAATTCTCAAAAATTCAGACGACGAGAACGTTATTCCCAGCAGTAGGTCTATGATGAAGTTGAACTTTAATTCTTAACTCTGTATACCGTTATATATATCCTATTTACACATCGAACCTAAACTATTATTATTTTAGATGAAGAGGTTTCGGGGAATTTAATTTGTTAGTTGTGTTAATTTCAAAGTGACTGCAGTTGAGGTACAATCGAAAGCTAGAGAGCATTGGACAACTGTTTCGTTTTAGTATGGGACTCTTTTGTACTGAGCAATCACAATCCCGTCAAAAAATTAGACAATCAAATCTCAAAGACTTTAAACAAACTAGTCAAAGCAGGAGAAATAACAAAACAAGACCAATGGAGAATAAAATCCAGTGGACCGGTACTCCCTCGATTCTACGGAGCCAAAAGGCAATCACAATCCCAGAACCCAAGACTTTATCATTTTCATTTCATATAATTTTATGTTGAGAAATATCATGGGTAAATGAGTTTGGTCTATTTTCTTTTGGTTTTTTTTTCACGCTTTATAATTTTAAAAATAATCTCGTTTAATTGCTCTAAAGATGACTTCTACGTCTAAACAATTAGGAAGAAAAGAAAAATTTGTCTTGATTAGTAAATATTTCTATAAAGTTAGTGTTTTCACATCTCTTCTGGAAAATATTTATGAGGACGTTAATTGTTACCATTAGTAATCCTCACTGTTACTTCATTATTGTCCTCATGAAATTAAGCTTATATATGCATATAATGATAAGTTTTATAATCTGTTACTTCCTCTCTTTCAATTATCTTTCTATCCAAACTTTTAATCGGCTAAACGAACCCAAGATTATATGGTAAGAACAAGGCTAAGTGTAGATTCTAACCAACTATTTACTGCATTGTGGATTTTATCACATATACACAAACTCTTAGCAGAAATGAAACAAGAACAACATACCGGAAAACCTCCAAATGAAAAGCTGAAAGTACATAAAACTGGCGGATTCACATCGAATGTAGCACCAATGAATGAAGTCAATGCCATTGGACCCCAGAAACAAATGAAAAAGAATAATAGTAATAAACCACCAGTTAATGCTTTTTTACTGGTATCACGATTTTGTCCTCTTGGTGTAGGATAAGCTAATTCTGAACGTCGCCAACATTTAAGAATGAATATCTTCGAATAAACATCTTCTAATTCCATCCAATGATATAACGATAAAGCACTACTAGTCCACATCCAATCCATTACATTTCGAAGTTCATACAAAAATGGAACCAGTAGGTACCTGGAAAAAAAAGTAAGTAAATGTGATAAACAGCCTTTATAACAGAAAATAACTGAGTAAATTGAACAATATCTTCGGTAGAATCGAAGTTGGTATACGGATGAGAAATTTATTGATAAAACAAAGTGATTCGAGAGGCTTACATCACTGAATACTTAGGATACATAATAATTACTTCTTAATTTACACTGTTTGATATTATATCTGATCTGATGAAATGAGCAGATGTATAAAAACCACAAATAGAGATATGGTTTGAGGATTGGCGAAATTAAACTTAAATTATTGATTCGTATGTTAGGACCTCGCTATGCTTACTTTGGTTCGGTTACCCGAGTAGTGTCAATAGCCTCCAACTTATATTCGATTACTTAGTTCGACTAGAAATATAAACAACTGGATACTAACTTGATAATCTTAAGTTCAAGCATTCACAGTGAGACCTAAAACCTATTGAATCGATCTCTGGTGAAGTTAGGGATGTGCACTGTTAAATAGTTTCATAATAGGATAAAATAACCGTTTAGTACTTCCTGGTTTTTATTAGTTTTCTAACTCCAGCCAGTTCGTAATGGGAAACCTTGATTAAATCCTGAAAACATGGAAGTTATGTTACTCAGTGATCAATAAATAAATAAAAATAAGTAGAAAATCAACTTACCCCTTGAACAAAACTAAATTGATGTAATTGTAGTTCTTAGTTAAGAAGTTCCCTAATATACGACGAGGATAACCACTACGAATTTGATAGGCCGATAGAGAAAAATATACACATTTAATCAAATATAACAATTGAGGTGCCAGACCAGAAGTAAATGGGCTAAATGGAATTAAATGTTAAGAATGCAGTCATAAATATTAGTTGCTAGACTAAAAATACATCAAAATATTCCTCAAAATGCATTTCAAAAAATTTAATCATGCAATTAAATCATGCAATGCAGCGAAAATATGAATTGATTGTATCAAAATAAAAAAATCGTTATTAAATACTTGTTAGTTATCAAGAGTTCTCTAAATTAGGTTAATTTCCAAAGACTATAATGACGATGTCTATCAGTAAAAGACGTACTTAAGAATATGATCCTTGTAAAAGCTTTCTACTTGAACATTAGTTTTCCAGTCACAGCTTATACCGGACTTTCGGCAAAACTGATAACATACAGATGTTCGTCGGGATTGCCCATTTTCTTCATTGTTATTAAACCTCGCCTTCATTATATGACCTTTCATGAATCAATTTCTTACAAAGAGATGAACTTATTGACTTGGAATATGCAGATGATATGATTCTGTTTGGTGAAAGTGCTGACAAAGTAAACCTTGATCACCTTGAGTAACAATGCAAGCATAGTTTGATGTATTTCTCCGCCTTTAAATACAAATTGTTACTTTAAGACTGGATTAGGTTAACGTCAAAAACAATTGACAGGAAGTTAATTAATTGAGTACGTTGACCACTTCAGGTTCTGGTGGGTTGGTTTCTGACGAAATCTCAACACGGAGTTCAGAAAGCTTGGTTGGTTTTGGTCAACTTGCAACACTCGTTCCATAAGCAAGATGTTTATCTCCCAAATAAAGGACGAGTATACTTCATAGCAGTTGGTTCTAGCCTACTTTATAGTTGTGAAACGCGCATTTTGAAAATAAAGGATATACGCAAGCTATCAGAATTCGATCATCGAAGCTTTAAAACATGGATGTATGTTGAAATTATAAAGTGGGTTAGCGTTTGGGTTAGACGTAGAAAACCAGGTAAGGATGACATATAGGTTGATGAGACAGCAAATTTTCAGAAAATGAAGCAGTTGGGACAAAAAATATCACTGATATTACCACTATGGTTTTAATTTTCATAATCTCATTTTCTTGTGAGTATATAATGTCAATATTTACATATATCCCAATATTTACGTTATCTTTATCTAAATGATAGATCATAAATATTTTCCATCAATACTTAAGGTTTCTCTCATTTCACTTCCTACTGAATACCTGACAATCAAAATGTCCATTCCACCGTCAGTTAATTGTTGAAATTCCATAAGAAAGATTTATACAAATTGTTTGTAAAATATGCCAACTTATCACAACATATTAGGTAATATTGTTCAAAGTGATTCTAGTACTTAATCAGGTCAAAAATAATGTTTCATCAACAACATTTTGCATACATAACAAAATTAGTGAATATCACAGATTTTAAGTAAATTCATTGCTTAAAATAAAACTTTCTTTTATTTGTACATTTGTATATGATGGTAATAGTGTTATGAACTTTACAATTAGAAGTTCTAATTTGTGAAGCTTTTATTACGGTTGTGAATAACATTTACCAGCATCTCTGTAGGTATGTATATTTATATGTATATATCACATCTGCCTTTCACAAACTACACTAAATTCATAACTATAATCTTTGAATGATTTTAAAAAGTTACATATAATACCATAAAAATATTTATTATTATTATTACCACAGTAACAACTTACGATCTTGTAATATGAGGTAAAATAAAAAATAACCATCCATGAATTAATACAACATGAATAATTTGAAAGATAAATTTTCCAAGAACTTGTTTCTGTAAGAATAAACCACGATCAATTATAATAAAGATGAATTGAACAAGAAGCATTGATATAAATGGTAGAGGAACCTGCCAAGACAAAAAAATACATAAATCTTTTAAAAACGAAACAATTTAGTGGATTACTATTAGAAATGATATGAAAATACTTTTTTTTCAACATAAAATAACAGATCTACCTATGAGTTTGTCTAAATATTAGTAATATTGAGGTGTACATGTGAAAATATCTGATTCTGAATTTAAAGTAATGAAAATCAACTGTTCTAAGGATTCGAATTATTTCCATATTCCAATGGTATACCATAAAAAAAAACTGTAGGAGTCGCGAAAGTGAAGAATGAAAAGATATCATACTCAGTGGTATTGCTACACGATATAACAGTACGGAGAAATTAAACCATCAAGAGAAAATACAAAGTAGTCAAGGTAATAGGAGTATCGGTGGTAGTAGAAATAATTAGGCACAGAATACTATATTGCATTAAGTCGTGATAATCATCTGTTTCTTCGACTTGTTTCACAAAAATATGGACTGGTATCTTACAACCACTTTATTGTGTAATGTATATTCCCAACGACGTGTAACCCAGAAATCTTTGAATTTGGTACGATATAATGTGGAGAGTAATATAAATGTATCAGACCAAAGTTTTAAGTTGATACTTTTATAGCATAAATAAGTTCATGGATGGTTGTATTTCTATATTAGCCTATTTCTAAGCTATCGTATGGCCCATATATCGACGCCATAACTATTATTCTACCAGATCATTGATTAATTATTTCTATATTACTATAAATTTCTATAAATTATTATTAAGCTACGTACACATCTTTTTTTATTTGTGTCAATCAGGAACTTTAGGTATACTATCGTATGAGTTTTGAGTCACGATTGAGTATAGTACAGTAGAGGATTGATCTGCTTTTTCGCTTCATCTTCTGAGTAGTAACTAGGTTTGAAAGAGCTCGAAGTCTAGTAAGTATTAAGGTCTCAGTTATTGTATACTCGTCCATGAGTGGTTTGGTAAATAAGTCACTAGTTTTACGAGGAATATAGGCGGAATTAGCGATAACGGGATTAGAGATAGAGGATAAATCATCTACTATAATGACGACCTGACCATACAAGCCACAATACAACTTAAGTATGTTTCCTATTTTTATGTCGTATCAGAGTAATAACTCATTGATATTGGAAATGTCATTATTTCTTTTCTTAATAGTACTATAAGTTGAATGAAAACTCACTCTATTTGATTTTAGGAATTCAAATGCATTATCACCCATTCCAGTCTAAAAATAATTAAATTAGAAAAAAGACAAATCATTAAAGATAAAGAACTGTGCAATATAATATAAAATATTAATAAATTATTCTAAGCTAAATGGTATAATTCATTAAAGATAAACTATATGGAATTCTAGCAGCGATACTTTTCAATAAAACAGATAAATCAATGTGAATAGAATCGAAGATATTATAGAAGAAAACTGTAAGTTTAAACATTGATATGCAACAGAATATTTCATGATACTTTCTATTGGAAAAAAACTTCAAGCTGGATACATATAGAGTGAAATCTCCAACTAAGGAAAAACATCAAATTAATTATGAAAATTCATACTATGGATGACGTAATATACGTATGCTTTAGATCCATTTAAAAATTAGGAAGACATTAAATTTGTATATAGACTGAATTTATTCAGTGACAGATTTATGTTACATATCAGAGAACTGGTATGTGCACAACTTTTATGCTACAGAATACATCCCAAGATTCTTAATAATGAATGCAGATAATCCATATTATGTATAACCGATAAAAAAAATGAACACTCATTATCCTATAAGCAATAAGACTAGATAAATAAACTTAAAATCTAAACACCACAGCTAACATCAAACATTAAAATTTAGAAATTCAAATAAAATAAGCAAAGGAATTACAACTAAGTGATATATGGAGAGAAACAGAAAATAAACTTACACTTGGTCCAAATGATACATAACCAAATATCATAATCCAAAAAGCGATAAATTCACAAAGAAACATGTAAATATAAACATCGACCTTTTTATTATATCTTGGGTCAGTCATTTTCAGATAGAATCGCTTAAGTTTTATCAGTGGATTCCACGTCTTACCACCTGGACCCCCACTAGAAGTAGTAGTAGAATAGTGTGAGGTTTGAGGATATAGTTGAACGAATGCATTACGCCCACCAGTAAATAATCCATCATCTTTCCTAAGATCTGTTTTTGATTTATTCAGACAAACACCGGATGATGCTAATTGTCGTGAACTATAAAGAAAACATTTTTCAAGAAATATTAAAACTTCAAGTAAATGTAATTGTTTAGAGAGAAATTAATGTATACGAAAAACGAATAACAGTAAACTCAGAGATTATTTAAACAGTTATTTAACGTGCTATGCAATATGTTTATTGTATAATTAATTTACAAAACATACGGAGCAATCACAACAGTGCTTAGTCAGATTCGACACTTAACGATAAAACGGGATGATTAGACTAGTGACCAAGAGCTAGAATATATATTAATTTTACAGTTTGATTAATCATTCAAGAACGAACCATTAGTCTAATTTGCATGGTAGCTTGAGATCTACGTTAATTATGGCTGAATAACTGAATCGTTAATCTACCACAAAATAACAAATTATCGATTACTACAATCTTACTTTGTCATTTACGACGAAATACTGAACTTAACTATCAATCAATAAATTGAATTTTAGATGAAAGCAAAAAACCCTTAACGGAAAAAATAGAAATCTATAATATAAATGCTCACCTTGTTCCTTGCTTCGAACAAGATAACTGCTAATAGGTAGTAATCGTAAAGGAAAACAAAATAAAAAAATAATTGTGTAAGAACATATGAATGTGAGGGAAATAAAGACGAAAAACTAAACTAATTAAGTAGAACATATGTAATCACATAGACAACATATTACCAGATTAGAACTGGAAATAATTATTTCTAAAAATCGAAAATTCCCATCTGTAGACGAAGGATTATAAACATTTAACTTCAAAACAGGTGATTCTTCTTGATAAATTCAGATAATGTAATGAAAATAATATTAATAACAATGGTTGTATAGTAAGAAATCACCTTGGTTGACTATGTAAAAATTATATTGGTTTTGAAAATAGAAGACTTATTCAATTGGATCAGCATGGATTGATATCAGTAAGAGAATCATTAGAAATTCAGGAAAAATATTGAACATCTCTGTTTCATCCTATTTTATTGTTATATGATTTAGTAGTGCAATTCACTTAATATGCTATTAATCATTTATAGAGGAGCTAATATGATCTATCGACTCTTTGACATTATTTATTCTCATACATTATTTGCCTTAATTATTCAAAAAAAGACTATGATGTATTTGCTTACAGCCTTGAATGTTCCCAATAAAGTTAATATTGAATCCTTTCATCCAACTCATCGCAGATTCAAAGACAATGTATACTAGAATTTATCTGCTAAGGGTGAATTACCAAATGTTTATAAAACATTATCTAGCATAAAAATTAAAGGGAATAAGCGAAAATAACTGTTGACAAAACACCTAATACATTAATTTATTTAATTTTTTGCAATTACAGTGTATACATTAAAATGAATATTAATGAAATATTTGATATTTTAAGCTATGAACATTCTATTGTATACTAAACATGTATATATTTATAGTTAGGAAGATAGAATAATTACATCAATAAGATATAACATGATGGAATAAAATAACAAATTTTCAACTTTTGAACCTTTCAGCAATGAGTGAAAACAAGTAAAGAAATAAACATATGTGAGGAAAATGATAAACGACAATAGAAACTGATCGTTAGTCACAGATTATATCATCCACTTCATTATATTGGTTGACATGATTATTACTTATCCAAAAATATATATGTCCTTGGAGTAGGATAGCAATAGCTTTTGTAAAAGTTTTGTTATCAATTCAATTTTCAAATATGAAATAATGAATTAATGTAGCTTCTTTACCAATAACAAGTTTGTGTATTTGGTTCTGAATTAGAACTGAAGTAGGCATAATGGAATTGGCATTTGAAATTGAGCATTTTGAATCGTTAGACAATCGCTCTCGAAAAACTATTTTTACGATAATTTTCATACATTTGTATCGTATAACTCATAAGGAAGAAAAGATTATATGAAAATCTTTACATTGTGATAATAGAATGGAATACTGTTCTTTTTAAATTCATCTCAGATACTTACTAATGGATTACAAGAAACGAGGAGAAATATGTTGAGGAAGATAACAATTGGCATGGATCATGAACTTGACAACACACAATAAAAGATTATCTGGAATAATAATCTTACTTCATTCATCTTATATTTACCATAATTTTATGCTTAATATCAAAAGTACATTTATTATCAAGATAATAAATGTACTTTAAAACGTTAGAGAAATAAAATAGACATCAGGTCGCTACTACTACTTACTGCTGCTTTGTTTTCTTGTACAATTAATTCAAGATCATGTGTGAATTCAGTGTCATCACGCCAAAGACCATTATTTTTTAAATATCCTCTATGTAAGAATAAACTAATTAATTGTACTAAGTCAAATACAGCATAATCATCATTTTTATTTACACCAATTATACGAGGTAACCACAATGGTTCAGCTGATTCCGTTGGCCTTAATATAGCATCATTGAAATGGAAAAATTTAAACTGAAATATGTACTTTATGACAATAACAATCTATAGAGTAAAATAAAAGAATAAAAACAGATATTAAATAAGTGAAATGAATAATAATAATAATAATAATAATAATAATAATAATAATAATGACAAAGTTTACTTCGAAATAGCAATGAGTAGAATAAATTACCAAGATTTATAAAAGGGACGAATTTACATTAAATAGGTGGAATGCGGCTAGCAGTGGAATCTAGGACGTGTATTTTATCATATTTGAAACATCAGCTGGATGAACTTGAATCTGAAATAAAACGAGACGTGTATTCTGGATTCCACTGCTAGCCGTATTCCATCTCTTTTATGTATGATTGTCATAATGGCTATATCGAAGAGATCCACATAAGATCCATAAATGCAAACTTGGACTGATCAACAATGTGACAAATCCTTATCATTACAAGTTAAAGGAAATAATTGTTTTAAAAAGGAAATATATGCTGGTTAAAGTAGCGTAATTCAGTAGTTAAAGCATTTAATTGTCAAATATTGAATCGATTTCACAGCATTTGTAACTCCAATTTGAAAGAATACAGTCAGCATTACGAAAACATATATAATATTGATTATCCAAGACGAAGATGATGACGTAGTGCGAACTTAAAGTCGTCTTACTCACGATTTATGTGAACCCCCGTGGCTTATGCGAAAAGTTCTTTTTTTTCATTTTAAAGATTATTGTCGTGTATATACGTTATAGCTTGATAAAAATTTATTTTAAAACAACTTGTAAAATGACTCAAATTCAGAATGGATCCTGAAAAAGTAGTTTTGCTTTAAAACTCATAGTAATATATAAATCATGTGTATCACCGTCGTCCGGTTGATGAGTTTTAAAAGCATGACAAAACACCTGTTCCAAATTCAATTTTTAGCTACTTTCCAACGGTAATAAAAACTCATAACTAAATGGCAATATTAAGATAATTTCTACAGGAGATATTTGTGTCAAAAAGATTGATCAATTGAGATTATTAATATTAAAGGGAAAATATAAATCATTAAAATAATAAATTATTATTTAAGGAATTTCTTAAAATAAACTTGAATATGAAATATGAGAAACGGTAAATCATAATGATTATTCAATAAAACAAAACTATATATCGTCAGTAGTTTCATTTTATAAGCTCGTTACATGCAACTATTACACATCATGGTAAAAAAAGGATAGATAATGGGAACTAGTGAGTAGTATATATATAAAGTATGCTTACCTCAGTGTAAGTGATTAAAAATATCCAAAATGTTTTTGTTGGACGTGGTACAGATAACATACCCCATAATAATACCATTAATGGATAAGGTAATGATAATAATGATGCAGAATGCATATGATTAAATATTAAAAGAAAATAACAAAATAATTCTGAATAAACAATAGCTAAATTTCCAACAGCTATTAATAATAAAAATCCATATGAACGTGATTGACGAAAAGCTTTTTCACGTTCATGATCTTGTATATCTGTCATAGGTGTATTATTATCTAAATTATCTAATGAATTATCACGTATTAAATAATAATTTATAGTATCATTTAAATAATTTTCATTAGTTTGTACATTTTTTTCAATACATTGAGGATTAAATAATGATAATTGACGTTCTGGTGTTGTAGAAATAATTTCTAAAACAGCTGATTCTAAATGTGTTCTACAAATACAATAAACAATAAATAAATTAATTAATTAATTAAATGAAAAACAATTATTTACAAGAAGAAAAAAGAAATACTCAACTAAATAACTGATACATTTTATAAAATAAATAAATAATAAACAAATTTGGAACAATGTGAAATGAATAATGAAACCTACAATTTTTTAAAAAATTTAAAACATGAATAAATATAATTTATTAATTTATTGAATTTATTATATTTCCATTGTTTTATTGAAATCATTGAAAAATAAGAAATGAATGATATAGTTGGTAATGGAAAAAATAAATATGAAATATGATCTGTTTTATTATTAAACATATGTAAATCAATATTTAATGGAATTATAACATTATTATTATTATTATTATTATTATTATTATTATTATTTGAAGACGATGATCTTAATTTGTTTCTAGATAAGAAGAAGAGAAAAAAAGGAGTCGAACTAAGAAAACTGTAATAGATTTGTAAAATTATTCCATTTAACATAAGAATAATTCATCACTATATTCGAATAAAATAAACAATAGTATATACGAAGGAAGTATAAATATTTATTGAAATTTTGAATGATTAAAATCTACTATTAGATATCTTGAGATTTTAGAAACACATAATAATATAGTTATACAATATACCCTTGTAGACCAGGGTAATTTTAAATTGGTTTTCAGGAGAACTAAACACCATCCAAACTTTCACGTGACAACCCAAACAGTACAACTCAATCCCGCTTTACAGGAGAACCAGATACTGTATAGGCTTTAACGCTACAATCTGAATAGTACAGCTCAATCGTGTAGCGAAACCACACAAGTACCAAGTACCCTGGTAGACCAACGCAGATAATAAAAACATACTATTGAAACTAAACTCATATAAAAATAATACTAATAAGTTATGAAGTCAAAATTATTTCGATGGTTAAAGTGATGGATTAATTGATAAAAAGTCAACATTTCAATTATTAGGTTATATATTTTAACTTCGTTTCATTTTTTTTCTTGTAACACAATGTAACTACGAAATAAAGTTCCTTGTGTGAAGCATGAATAACACAATTAAGTGTTATGTTTAGGAACAGCCTACGGTAATTTCAAATGACTTAAGACTACGAAATTCTTCTAATACAAAACAGCATATGAACAAAATCAACCTAGCAACTAATATGCACTAAATCAATAATAATCTTCTACGTTATGGTAGAAAGAGATATCAGGAACTTGGGAGAGGGTAATATTCACAAAAGTCACGTTTGTGGATATAGCAACAGAGCAGTCCTCCAGAGAAAACAGAAATACCAGACTAAAGTATAAAAAACCAGTAAGGTAATATCAACAGTCAGCAAGGAAGCATGAACAGGAAAAAAATTATCGTGAACTTGCTTGCATACACGAGCTAGCACTTAATAAAAAGAAGTAGGTTCTCAAAGAACCAATATATATCATACAACTATCAAATCATAAAAAAACATGTCAACGATGCACAAAATATAATAGCGTCATTATTAAATATATATTTTAATTAAAACTGTTTACCTTAATTGTTCATTTGTGGATGGAAGATATGAAATAACTCGACGTTTAACTAAACGTTTTTCTTGGTCAATAGTTCTGCGAATACGACGATATTGACGAGTTAGACCATTCAAAAATCTTATTAAACTATCCACAGAACTCAAGAAAAACATATATGCTATTAAGCAAGAAGCTTTAAACTTGCTCCAACAGCCCTCAGTATCTGAAAAGGATAAAAATAATACTTAACTATAAAATGAATGTACGTAATTAGGAATAAGCGAAGATAATGAGAGAACAAATGACCTTTAACCTATAACAACACCTTGTTAGTAATATTCAGTCTGTGGCAGATAACGGGGTAATTAAAATAATTCCAAAACTATATTCAAAGGTGAAATGTTCACGTAATGATTATAACCAATACATGACGTAAAGGTGATAGATAACAAAAGTGATACTTGTGATTGATATAAATGAGTTGAAAATTAAAGTCATAAGACATTTCTTAAAGATTTGTAGTCAAAATAAGAAATTTACTGCGTGAAACAATATTGCTTAATACTAATCTGGTTTATTTTAGAAGGTGGTCTACGGTAAAATGTAGTTTGGGCTGTTTGAAAAGAGAAAATTCGCCTTATACAAGAACTATCGAATGAGTATACATTAATACTAGTCATCCATACTGACTTAGTGTGAGCAGCATATCGTCACTGAAATTAGAGAGATGATAGGAATTTTAAGCGTACAGAAAAAGAGCTACATAATTAGTCATTATAAGTATTACAATATATATTGAACGTTAACCTATTTCATAAATCCTAGTCAGTTTGAGTACGAAAATAAGTTTTAAAAAGGTAGGAAACAAGTAGACGAAATAACGATGAAGCATACAACATCATCTTCATAATTTATGAATAGAATTTAACAATAAATAGATGTGGAATGTATTTTGTATTAAAATCAAAACTGAAAAGTAAAAACGACTCACGTTGATGGATAGAATCTTTGCGTAATTCATCATTATCATTTATATCAGATGACCCATTATTATCATCGAATGGTCGAGATGATGAGTGGGTAGTTTTAATTGGCTTTTCAAATACAGTTATCTGATTATCTTGAGCATTTTGTTTATCCATAATAACATACGATGAAGTATGATTATTTGACTGATTCAAAAGAATAGTGTTTAGTTTAGTATCTTCTGTTTGCTTCGAAGTTGATGGATTAAAATGGGATTTTCTTCCAGCATTAACATCTATCATATTATTAAATTCCGATTTACCCTTTAAAATACATTTATTTTGTTCCTTGTTTACGATATTACCGTCGACTACATCATTATTTCCAGTGAATGATGAATTTAACGGGTGAACAGAATATAAATTGGCTTTATTTTTTAAAGGTTGTTTAAAATAATTATTATCAGGATCAAAACAACAATATTCACTAACGTTTACATTTCTGTCCGTCAATGGAGAATAGTATTTTTTACATAATCTATCGGAAAAATGAACTTCCGGTTGTTGTCTTGAACCAGAATGAATATCAGGTACACTAAGTTTCCTTATGCCAAATTTCGATGAGAAACGGTTGTTTCGTTTACGTTCTTTAGTTTGATTAGGATAAGTTGTATTTTTAAGTGAATGATTGTGAAAGGAATTTGTACTGACCTGATGTCTATTGGATGACTATAAGTAAAGGTTATAAATTAGATTGTATGCATAATAAATGGTATGAAAAAGTTACAAATTATGTTTGAATATGTACTTATCTGCAATAATCAAGCATACATAGAACTTAGAAATTTAGTAACGTTATAAGTTCCTTCAATAAAACCAATTTACGTGGCAAATGAACTAACATTTTGAGAGCGTATAAATAGCAAAATGTATGTATTTAAAAAAATTACTTGCTTTATAACACACATTGTTAAGCAATAAATTGTTTTAATAGTTGAATTCATGAGTCGATCTACGCTAGACCACCACTGAAAACCTGGAAGCACTGGACTGCTATTTCGTCCTAGTATGGAACTCCTCAGTAATGTGCATCCACGATCCCGCACGCAAAAATCAAAATTAGGACCATTGGTTTCGTGCGCGAACGCTTAACCTCTAGACAATAAAATCTTTACTTATTCCACAAATCTTATAAAAATCAAATTTACAGCACTATTCTTACACACACGCCGCATTGTCTTGAAAGTTGTCAATCTCAGTACATCAGAAATTATATCATTTCACAAATCCCTTAATTCATATTCCAAAGAAAAAACGGCTTTTTGAATTACTCCTTAGTGTGTAGAAATCACTCCTTTAGGTAACTACAAGATCATGTTCATCAAAAAGCAAAAAATTACAAACTGCAGTTCAACTCCTTCCTTCAGTCCAAAATTAACCAAGATTACTTAGCATGTACATGGTAAAACTTGGACCGATGAATTTCCATTATACATGAGAACTTAAATAAACTATTGATCATTTGTTAGTATAAAACAATAACAGCAATTACGCGGTGGGAATAAAGGTACACAGAAAAATATTTGACTTATTTGGTTAAATTTCCTATTTAGTACAAAAAATGGAGAAAATTTGTAGCTGAGAATAATGTTTTTGATGGCGGTGTTTGGTTCTCTAACCTAGACAGTCTGATTGTAAAGCATCCATTGTCATCCTGAATAACATCTTTAGCGCCTACTTCATGTATGAGTAGACGATAAGTAGACAATTAAACCATCTAGTTCGGAGAAATCAACACTATCAAAAGTATAAAAAACTTACGGAACAACTATAAGCAAGTTAATCAACAGTTATTTATATCATCATGTGCAGCTTATTTTTAGAGACAAATACTTTAAACAATTACAAATGTATATAGTAACCATTTCAAAACAAAACATTTAACCTACAGGTTGCATCGTTTGATCGACCGATGAACCATCTTGACTTCCAGTAGATATATTACAAGGAATATTATCAGCCTGTTCCCGTTGACGTGCACCATCATGAGAATGGGCATATAAATTGCGTCGATACTGTTTCACAGTTGAAAGAGCACCAAGTTCCATGGCTCTATTCAACAGTTGGATGGGATTTAATCGAGAATTGGCAGTTGATGGAGGATTAGCATCATCATCTTCATCACTATCTTTATCCGCTTCTTGACCATCATCGAAATATGAATAACTGAAATTCTTTCGATCGTTAGTATGGTGAGACCCAGACTTTAGGGCTTTAGTGATTATGTTATGAGAATGATTTTCAGCAAGACGAGACTCGATAATTTTACATTCACTGCTATCTGTTACTGTAGAAACGTTTTCAGAGTTACCCTCTTTGTTACTATTTCCCTCTGTTATCTTATTTGCAATAACAGGGTATTCAACATGAGAAGTTTCATAGGCCTACGATAAAAAAAATAGGATATTTAAATCAATTAAATTTGGCCAAATGAAGGATCGACCGTAAATAGAAATAACAGTGAAGGGATAACAAATTTGACAAATTCAAAGAAATCGCAGAAAGAAAAACATACTAAACGCATTATCATAATAAAAATATATCTATTCTGGTTATACATGTCCTATACTTGTTTACTAGCCATTTAGAAATAAAAATATATTTTTAACTTTAACAAGACTTGGAATTTCTTACAACTACTTTAATTTAAAAACTGTACATCGAAAAAAAGGTACGTTATTTCCCGACGAGAATTATGAATAGTAACTTTCGAAAACTACTTATGGACGAATACGACAAACATATTTTTATTGTATAATTATTAAGCAGCTAAACTATGCATATTTATGTTCCTCTTATTATAAGCTTTATCTTGACCTATAGGCTATTATTATACGATTTACTATTCTTGAGTTATGCCCAGTCTGTTAATCACAGTCTCCCACATTCACAGCCACTTTTGGCTATATCTTGTACAAATGTTATTTTCTATTTTATGGGACGATGTGGTCTGTTTGGTTTATATATAAACTCAGTATGTTTGAAATACATGATGCATATCGCAGAGGCTGAGATTAGTGTTCTGGACTTTACTAGGTAGGGAGAAGGACCGATAAGGACTCTAGACTGCTCGTACGGGTTTACGCATTATTGTTCCGGTCGATAAATCACTGTTCTCTAATTGGCGGTAACGCACAAGATCACAAGTTATAGCAATCAGTTATAATTACTATTAATATCTTCAAAGCGATCGACAAGATAGAGTAGTATTAAGGTGAATATTTAGTCCGAAACGACAGAGAGCGACTTTATTGTACTTAGAACTCATTCTCCAAGAGCTGAGACACGATTGGAATGATAGCCCTTTTAGAAATCTGACTATAAAAGCATTACCATTTGAATTTTATTTCATTTCCCTTATTGTATTTCCTAACACAGGGTAACCACTTGCATCGGTTGACATTCATTCGTAATGACAGAATAATATTAAGTATGGAATTTAGGGAATTACAGAAATTTTTTATATTGGAATACAAACAAACGCTAACAAAATAAATCCTTCATATTTACGAACTTTAAAGCGTTAAAGTTCAGTCGTGATTGCCTCATTCATCAAGCACAAATTCATAAAGCTAAAGTTTTAATGAATAAGCCCCGTAAAACTGTATTCACGATTTTTTCATCAAGTATCTAAATAAGTAAATCCATGGATAAACAAGCACACCATTAGCCTGTTATTATAAAAACATGGAAAAACTTTTATTAGTTAAGGCAATAAAAATAGTAAAGCCCCAGATATTCAGAAATGACAACAGAAGCATCAATATGTACCTTAGGAGGACTTGGTTTAGATAATGACGATTTCGTTGTTCTCCTATGGCTCCGGACCGTATTTTTGACAACTGTGTTCTTTTCAGGACTACTAGGACGATCTTTAGTGGGGAAGATAGCTCCAGATGCTGAAAATAATCGTCTATGAGTTTCATAAGGACGATGGTGTAAAGTGATTGGATTCTGATCTCGTCGATCAGTGGATCGATGAGCGAATCTGTCATATGATGTTTGACTAGGACGTAAAGCTAGATTTTTACCATCTGAAACCTTAGGTTCATCTGATTCTATAGATACAACTGAATATTTTTCGTTTCCACCAAAATGTTGACGTAAAAACTCAGGATGAGATCGCATACGACGATGTCCCAGGACAAATCCAGAGTGAGGACGATCTTGATGCATTTCAATATGCTTAGGATGTTCATAATGGCGGTCTGAATCAAGAGCATTTCTACTATGAGATGCTGGGCAAACGCGACGGTGTTCATCTCTAAAACTAAAGGAATAATAATCAGTAGAATTTCAAGTGAGTGTAAATTGTTTTCAGATATACTAATGAAAAAAAACATATAAATAGGTTTGAATGATGGGTGAGAATAAATATTTGTATAAACTGACCAAAATTCTGATCTTTTTAATTACAAAATACTCCTTTAATCACTGGGTGTCGTCTAAAATAGTTAAAAACAATAATAATATTCGGTGAAAAAGAATAGGTAACTGTAGATCCTAAGAGGAAATATACAAATTATCAAATACATTTGCTAACGTCACTATTTATATTTCAACTGAACTCACAAACAGAATTACTAAAATCAGTCGACTGACTGACTGACAAGAAAGTAAGTAGCTGAAAAAAAATTGGTTACAAGATATAGTCTATGTTGAACGGTAATTAAAAATTTAAGAATAACTGATAGGGATCTACGCACCGATCGTAATATAGCAGTGATTTACACCAATATCCAAACAGACATGGTTGCTGGCAATACTATAGAACTTTCCACCAATCAACTAATGATATTATCTAGGCAAGAGATCACATTATCTACCAACAGTCAACGTCCTCATGATGTTCCACTGATAATTATAGTATAGGGGACATTATAGAGATTCTTAGTGAAAATATGCAATGAAAGAATAAATAATTCTGTATTTAAAGCAGTTAACATTTACCTGTCAAAACAATTGATATTCCTATCTCCCAGTTAATTAGACATAGTTAACTGATTACCTAGTCTGAAGTACATCTCTTAATACACAACATCATAAAGTCACTAATAATCCATATAATATAAAGTAATTGTACATAACGAAATTTATCAAATTTAGTGGTGATAAAATAAAATGTAAGATTTTAAAATTCAGTATTGTTGAGCAAATAACTTTCAGATATTTCAGTCTGTCAGTCAGCTACAACGTAGGACCAGGCACATATATGCATCGGTCCAATTTGCCATACCCCATTAACACAACAAGATGGACACCAGATTCATAAAAGTAGTTAATTCAGAAAGACTGCAATAAGGATATAGTACAGGAAGAAAGAATTAGTTATTAGAAAGAAAGAAAGATATGAAGTGATTTTAATCTCTTAGTTTAAGTGAAGACAGGGAGTGTATACACCGACGCCATTGTGATCGATCCTGAGCCATGTCACCAAGAGTCTCCAACCATTGGTTACGATAGTCACGCGAACCCCAACCAAGTAGTCTGCATCTACCAACATGGCTCAGACTAGAAGTTAGTGACTTCAAGCACTGATGCCACGTTTTGGTTTGGCCGCCTCTCACTTTCTTCCAACCATCTCCAACACCGGTTAGCATTGTACGTCGTGGTAATCGGTGTTCAGGCATACGTAACACGTGGCCCAACCATGTCAGTCGATGAAGATTCACAACCTCATCGACTGATTTACCATCATTCCCCAATACCCTGCGTCTAACCTGATTATTACTTACCCGGTGATCCCAGCAATATTTCTGAGGCATCTGTGGTCAAATACTAGTAGCTTACGGGTATCTTCTACTCTTAATGGCCATGTTTCGCTGCCGTAAATTAAAACAGAACGGATTGCCGCGCAGTATACTCGTCCTTTTATTGATAGACGGATATTTTGCCTTTGCCATAGGTGACGTAAGTTGGCAAAAGCCAAACGAGCTTTTCGAATCCGTGCAGAGATTTCGTCAGAAACCAAGCCATTAGGGCTGATCAGACTTCCAAGATAAGTGAAGTTGTCAACGCGTTCGACTACTTCACTCGCTATCCTTAGTTCAGGCGTTGACGCAGACCAGTCCCGAAGTAAAAACTTGCATTTAGAGGGAGAGAAGCGCATTCCAAATATTCCGACAATGTTGCTCAGTGCTACCAAAAGACTGCATTTTATCAGCGTCTTCATCAAACAGGACTATATCATCTGCGTATTCTAAGTCGATAAGTAGACCTCCTGGAAGGAGATCAATACCCGAGAATTCAGTCAATGAGAATGCTATTTCCATCAATAGGTCTATGATGAAATTAAACAAAAATGGAGAAAGTGGACAGTCTTGACGGACACCACTTGGGGTTGCAAAAGCAGATGGCAGTTCGCCATAAGCTCTGACTCGACTGGTAGTGTTCAAGTAAAGAGCCTTCACAGGGTTTATGTACTTCTGAAGTACGCCTTTCAATGACAGTTTCAGATATTTACTTTTTGATGAAAGAAATCAACATGAAATGACCGAATGAAACAACAAATATTAGGCTGACCTGATAGTACTATAAGGATCATTATAATTAGACAGAATATTTAAAATATTTGGATCTATACTTGGCCAAATATCTCGTAAGTAATTCTTTCCATTTGGAACTAAAGTAACTTGAGATTTAGTATGATTATTTGAAATAGTGACTTGTTTATCAATTTCTTCACTGATAGCTGCTTTTTGTAATTTTAAATTATGTTTATTCTCGCGTAAACGTAACGCTGGTGGTGGTGGACTAGAATTATCTTTATCCGAATGATCACTATCATTTCCAGTTATATGTGTTTGACGGTTGACAAAATCATCATCCTCTTCTGGATCACCTTCAAATAGATAGTAATCACCAGATCGAAGCACTAGAATAAAAACGACAACGAAATCGAATAAATACTAGGTGATATTAAGATATAACTGCCCTACAATAAAAAAAGCAACAACGACAAAAAGGTTAACCAAATAACTAGTACAGGTACGTAAAACACAACAGGTAGATTTTAGTCTTAATTAACTATAGTAAACAACAATCCAGAACAGTGAATTCAACATATTTCGTTTATATTCGATCTATGCTTATAGTGTAGAAATAGAAACAAAGCATGTCCATTGCGCAAAATTATTAAGTGTCAATGAAATCATCAAAAGATATTTATGCGTGACTAGCTTAAAAGTAGGAAGACGACCTGAAAAAATAAGCTGTTTTTGATAGGTATCGAACATTATAAAAAAACGGATTTTTACAGCGGAGGTCGGCAAATGTTTGAAACCCACTCCTCAAACATACATACACACAAATATGCGGTTCACAGTTGATTGTATGAACACGAATTTGGTGTCTTGCAGTTAAAAAATTCGATGTGGATACACTTCACTTTTACACAAATGAGATCATTCAAAAAAATTACCAGTATATGAGTTCCATTAATGAGTGGCGTGGTAAATGTATAAAGGTTTACAATTGACTTTACGAAATGGTCACCCAAACATATTTTCTAAACAGATATGAAGAATGAAGTGTATCAGGAACAATCAAGTTTTCTATAGAAGTTGTATCATACAATTTATAGTACACCAAAAATGTGGTTAAGAAGTACTACTGTTTTGTAAGGTAGGAGAATGCCCCCAAATGGCCTGGTACGGCCGAGATTGTGGTGAGCCCGCCCTTCCTCTCGAAATGCTCTCACACGGCCACGCGTACACAGCCTCTGCCAGGGAAGTCCTACTCACTGCCTTCTCACAGCGGGGGTGATGTTTACGAAAATGAGAGAACGAAAAGCGAATATCCGGCGCTTTAACCGGATTCCAAACCGCATGGGCTCCAGTATCATGCGGGAACAAACGGCGTATGAACCAATGATTGGTCACCGGCTTCCATGGGACCGCATCTCCTTACGATGCTCCACTGCCTTGTGGATCAGACCTTCGGGTCGAAGGCTCGGGGAGTGGCTCCCTAAGAAAACCACCTGCTTCGGTTTAGGCACCCGGGCAGTATCACAGCCCTCACACATATCAAATGAGATTTGTGTGGCGCATATGTAATGCGCTATCTATAATGTAGGAGAATCGATCAGACATTATTACCTAGTTTTTATAGTTCTAAGACGGTAGCATTACCTGTGTGTTTAGGGATAACCGAGTGAGCAATACTGATATTAGACGTAGAATAATAAGTAAATATAACAATTCGGTTGATGAGGTTGTAAATCTTGTTTCTACTGACACCGTTATTACATCTACTACCCTGGTATTTGTCTTGATAACTTTATCTAGGTAAACTGATATGATGTAACAAATTGAATCAATATACATATGTGCTAGGCTTTACGTTACAAATTAATGACTGAGATAGTTTAACGCTTAAAAATTACTGTGGTGCATGACTTAAGTGGATGAGTTAAAGTATGACTTAAAAAGTAGTATATATAAATCTGAGCATTGTTACTGGATGATAGCCCATCAGAATTTCAGATGAACAAAAAAACAACTTTAGGTTGAGTTTAAACGTCAAATAAATACTAAACAGTAGAATAAAGCACATATTCATACGAGAAACCATGAAACGATTAAAAGATGTGTTGGATAATTAGAGGAAACATGGAGAAAAACCTACGACCATCAAAAAAGTAAAAGTATTTATACGCAATTGTCTACGCAAGATACTCAATGTCATTCGGCCGGATACCATCAGTAACAACCTACTATAATAGACAACAAACCAGCCTCTGGAGATGGGTAGAACATACACTGTAGAAATTATAAAATTGTGTCACGAGACAAGTTCTAATTTAGAATCGTGAAGGTGAAAGGAAAAGAGGCAGACCAAAGAACACATTATTACCTCGGGAGTTGGAAGCAAACATCGAAAGAACGAATAGCATTTGGAAACAGCTGGAAAAGAAGAGCACACAACAAAGTTGGTTGGAAAATCCGGGTTGGCGTTATATGCTCCTCTACAAGGGGTAACAGGAGTAAGTAATTGATTAAGTAGATGAATTAATGCCCAAAAAAAATCGAATTTACGCCAAAATTTTATAAATACAACAGACATCAAGAAAAAAATCTTACTTATATAATGTTCAGTAATGTTAGCATTACTACGTCCAAATGCTTCTTGACGTTGTTGAATAAGATTGAGTTTCTGTTGTACTTTTGCTAAATTATATTGTTCTTCCATAGCTTGTTCATGAATAGCTAACATTAACTTACGGTTTATTAGGTAAGCACCACTAAGAAGAAAAAAATAGTAGGGGGAAGAGTAGGATCAGAACAAACATAAGAGACCTCGTAACATTCGTCTATAACGGTTAATTATCATGTGGAAAAAAAGCCCGTTTAGTTCAGAAAAAAACTGCAACCAATGTAATTCATCAAAACCGAAAGTGATATAATTGCTTGTCAGAATTATTTCATTCTAATCGGCATAAAGTGTTTCCCTTTTCAAAAATCAAGTCCCATTGATTAATAAGGCGTAGAAATTTACGACAATATTGTAATTTTAATGTAAGTTATTAAATTAAATAAACTAAACCATTTATTGTGTATAATCAACCTTTAAAATACATATTTTTAGTATGAGAATTAATGGTACAAAACTCAAACTGAATTAGGTGATATAGAGTTGAGAATCTGAGAAATATTATTATTTGGAGTTTAATCAATAAAGAGTCCAAAGAGTGAACAGAGATTAAAAAAATCAATAACCACAACATTAAAACTTACCGAGATGCAAATCGACTTTGAACTTGTAAATCAAGTAATACATGACTAAAACTATGTGATGTGAATACTTTTCGTTGAAATAAAATAAATATAAAGCATACAATATCCCAATGCAAACCACTTGAAACAGTAGCACATGATGTTTCATGTCCAGCTAATGAGATAAAAGGTGAATAAATAATGATGATAATAGAATATTGACAATAATTAGAATTATATATATTATCAGAATGGGGTTTGTGGAGATTGTAGTATTTTAATAGTTGAATTCATGAGTCGATCTAAGCTAGACCGCCATGAAAAACCTCGATTCGCTGGACCACCGTTTCGTCCTGGAATCCATCACACTGTACGCAGGATTCGAACCCAGAGCTTTCGGTTTCGCGCATGAGCGTTGAGGAGTCCATACTGAGACAAAACGGTGGTCCAGTGCTTCCAGGTTTTCCAAGGTAATCTAGCATAAATTGACGCATGAATTCAACTATTAAATTACAAATATACTAAAATTCAAATTGTCAATCACATGCAACATGTTATTAGGTAATTTCACTAACTGACAAAAATACTAAACCAGTTCAACCAAATGAACCAAGTGAATTATATATATATATATATATATATATATATATATATATATATATATATATATATATATATATATATATATATATATATATATAATTCACTGTGTTAAAATGTTAAATATAATCGGCTTTAAATGAAAACTATAAAACTTAAATATATAAAGCTTAAATGTAGGGTAATCAATATTAATTAACTAATTGGAGAGAACACTTCATCACTAAAATGTGAATGTCGTTGTCAATGACAATTCAATTATGTATTAATTTTCATCCTCAGATTTTACATTATTTGGAGAAAATTTAATGTTATCTCAGTCACAGTTTTGATATAGGTATAAAGGAATAAGATCCGATTGATGGCTAATATCACACACATATACAAAATCTTCTAATTGTTTCTAGTAAAAGGTAATATCAGTCAATACAAGTGAATTATAATTCAGTAATCTCAAATAAAATCTTTTTTAATGCAGAAACGTGTATGTAGGATTAGCATTGTATACATTAGACCATTGAATTGTTTTGATCAGTTTATTTTTCAAAAATGAATATTGATGTACACGAGTTTATCAGGTTGTAATCGTTTTAAGTTGAAATACTAAATTTATTTGTACAATTACATACGAGGTAGATTGAAATGATTCCATGATAATGGATTCATACATTGAACACCGAATAACTGTATAAGCCAACATTGATTAGCCATTCGTGAACGATAGACACAACCCATAAGTTGAAGACTACATTTAGCCAAAATAACACAAAAATTATATCCAATAATTACATTCCATCTACAAAGAAAAATATTTTTTGATTATGATTTACTGTTTAAGATCAATAGTTACATTTAATCTTAGACAAATACATATATATAATTAATAATCATAAAAATCAGTACAATTTTTTCTCATTCTATTATATCAGATTACCGACTAGCTTCAGTCTACTTTTAATCATTGTATATCCATCAACATCGACAAAACGTATATAGAATGATAAGAAGTTGAAAGCATCTAGCAGAAATTCCTGGATGTAAGTTGGGCATCAATTAGCACTAGTCGACAAGACATTTCTGAAATTATTGAGACAGCCGAATTAAACTTGCGTTGTACAGTGAAAATAACAGTACATTTCATTAATGGTATGTGCAGCAACAAATCAGAAAAACAGTATTAAAAAAATACGGGTCTTCTGTTTTAACCTACTTTTAAATCAATTATAATACACTAAACACGTAATTCAAATAGTGTGCAATGCATTAAACAAAGAAAAACGTAATCTGAAATACAACGAAATTAACAGGAACTGTTAAAAAACTGACAGGCAATTATATATATATCAACAATTATAAATACTTACGAGTTGATAAGATTAGGTCGTTCTCTTAGCAAAACATTCAGTCCCATCCATAAATAGATGAAACTTAAGATCATATAACCTAAACAGAATAGTGTAATCCACACAACTCCAGTGACAAGAACAACAGCTAAACTGACCCAATAAGACCAATAGAAAATAAGATGACGCATATAATCTAAATAAGATCTGTTAAATTAACATGAATAAACAAAAGAAGAAAATTAATAATAATAATAATAATAATAATAATAATAATAATAATAATAATAATAATAATAATAATAATAATAATAGTAATAGTAACAGTAATAATTATAATAATAACAATAATAATGGTAACGATGATGAACAAGCAAATAAATGACAGATTAACTTTATGAAAATATCTTGAACAAAGCAACCATTTTTAAAAAATGGTAATTAATTAAATAATCTAAAGGTTTGATAATGACTGATCATTGTAATATACATGTGATTATCAGGTAGAAATAATCAGGGAATATAGCAAGCAAAAATGCAAGTCCAAAAATTTGTGGATTTCAGTGTAGCCTCAACTAATTAATTAATTGATCAACTAAATTTAAGTCATACATACCCTGTACACATATCGTTGATGAATGTTTGGATACAGATGTTCAACTGGAATATCTTCAGTGTTTTTTTTTCAATTATTTACTACTTCTACCAGCTCATTTTAAAGTCGAAGTTAAATTAAAGCGTAACCTAACTCTCTTCTTCTCTTTCACATACACGCAGACTATTTTGTCGAAACAAGAATTCGAAAAAAATTAAGATTCTTGTGCAAAACAATCTATACAACAAAGCTGTGGAAACCTCTCAATGAGCTATATAGGGATTCACATAGTATAGTATATTTCATTTAAAGGATAAATACGATGAATAAGGGATCATGTAGTCGGTTTTGATCATGTTTAGCAAAATACAGTTTTTCACAATTACAAACATGAATCAAGATTATTATTATCATCATCACTATTATTATTGTTATTATTATTATTATATGGCAATGACAAAAATAATTGAAAAATAAAGAACATCTTATCCATGTACCAAAGTAATTTTTTGATTGAGATCATGAACCAATTGATGTTAGACCATCACAATTGAAAACCTGGAAGCACTGGACGGCCGTTTCGTCCTATTGTGGGACTCCTCAGCAGTGCGCATCCACGATCCCGCGAGCGAGATTCGAACCCAGGGCCTTCGGTCTCGCGCGCGAACGCTCACTAGTAACTAGCTTCGTGAGGGAATTCTCGGAGTTCTAGTGAGAAGCCGTGACCAGTGGAGCTAATCCTTGTCGGGTAGAGACAGGTATTTACCTCAATACAATGGAAGTTGGTCGCGCAATTTCGTGGATTGGTTGATGTTAGAAACTATCACCATTGGATGCCGGCTCAGTGGTCCAGTTGGTTAAGCGTTTGCGCGCGAGACCGAAGGCCCTGGGTTCGAATCTCGCTCGCGGGATCGTGGATGCGCACTGCTGAGGAGTCCCACAATAGGACGAAACGGCCGTCCAGTGCTTCCAAGTTTTCAATTGTGATGGTCTAACATCAATTGGTTCATGATCTCAATCAAAAACTTAATAATCTCCACAACTCCTATACTAGTTACCAAAGTAATTGTTTGATAACATAACTCAAGATATGATATAAATGATATTATCACATGTTGATCACACATCTACATAAAATTAAATCAACTATACAAGCTTAATATATTATATTCATTTTATATTACACATATATTTGACTGGTCAGTTTATGAATTAAACCAAAAGTTCAGTAGATATGAACGTGAATGACTAAACACATCAACAAACCGATACCAAATATCAATTCACTGAAGTGTCAATTACCAAGGAGGTTAAATTCCGACTTGCCCTTCCGCGTAGTGTCTTCTGAATAGTGAGATCTTTCTTTCCACGAATTAACGCAAACGGCATAGCGGAGACAGGACTGACCAACCACTTCACTGTCAGACAGAGATCGGACTAGTCACCCGATCTGTCTAAGTCTTGATTATAAGAGAAGAGAGGTTGACTTGAATTGGCTTTCTGCCTGTGGCATTGGAGAAAACTTTCCTTTTGGTACCTGTACAAACTAGTTTGGAAGAGCCCATACGGTCTGGTAGGGGGGCGGGTCAGAGCGTAGGCTGTGTCGTAACCAGTGCACAGTGGTCAACATTAAATCAGCCTGTAGTAAGAGCGTTAATTGAGCACGTAGTCCATGACGATTTAGAATGCTGATTTAAATACTCAATATTCATTTAGTGAAAATGCTACTGGGTCTGGAAGCCTAGGTTATTCGCATCTATGCCTATATGTATACGATTAAGTGTATCGGCCTGGCTTATGCATTCTGTATACGCACGTAACTTATACTTGCAAGCGAAAACTCCTATGCTTGCATGTAATTATGAGAGGTGTTCACCTGTCTATGGTTTCTATAGATATATGTATCAACATACTAGTAACCGCGCCCATCTATGCCAATGTGTATGTCACTGGAGTGTATGCATCTTCTGTACCTGCATTCTAATATATGCACATGAAGTATACTTGGGGACAGAAAAATTCACCGTTTCTCCACTGATGAACTTATTAGCAGCTTATCAGCGCTTCCAATTGTATAAAAGCTTCCGAAAGTGGTAGGAAAAGTGTAAGCCGATATAACACGTCTGCACGACGTGTTGTGGGTCGAGAAATACTCCCATACTACTGATATCGTGTCCTTATCTGCACGATTCTCCAGTATCCAGTGGCACTGTCATTTTCAGCTCTTCTCTATGCCAGAAGAGAGCTACGGGGCTCCACCCACTACGCTAGGCAGATAACTGAAACTGTCAATTAACCGAATATTCATAGAATTATTCAAAAGACTTTTCTTTTTTATAAATGTGCAGTGGCAATTTTATATAGTTTGTCAATGGTTAACTAATGTTTAATTTCAATGCAAATAAAAAATAATCCATCAATACTAAAAATGTAATTTTCCAAAAAGGTTTGATCAAAAGCAATGACAATAGAGGAGAGAAGTAGAACAAATGTTGTAAACATAGATTCGCATTGTGTTAGAAAATTGAAATTTAAGTGAGAATTCAATGTTTAATGGGAAAATATAAACAATTCTTCATAAAAACGTCTATTTGTAAACAACTAAAGAAAAGATGCAATATTATATGGGAAATTATTACTAAAATGGCTTAAAGGCACAACATTACTCGTCGTTCTGAACTCTAAAAGGGACGATGAATGAGCGGAGTTTAAAATGACAATTCATATGACATTAGCAAGCAATCAAAGTACAAAATATTGCCTATTTAAAGCAAACTTAGTGCTTTAATAGTTAATAAAGAATAGAAATCCTTAATGTCACAAGGTACGTACTTAAGGAATTCAAAAGTGAGAAATACATACTTATCAGAATGGGTTTTGTGGAGATTTTAGAAATTTCACAGATTAAAATCATGAGTCATTTGAAGCTAGACAGTGAAATTTCTAAAATCTCCACAAAACCCATTCTGATAATAATCAACTGCTCACTAGTGACTGACTTCAGGAAAAACTCCCGAAGTTCTAGTGAGAAGCCGTTACCAGTGGAGTTCAACCAGGTCTGTTGTGAGATATCAGCTCAATGAAGACAATGGTGTACGGTGGCGCAACTTCGTGGATTGGTTGAAGTTAGACATTAACACCGTTGGATGCCGGCTCAGTGGTCTAGTGGTTAAGTGCTCGCGCGCGAAGCCAGTAGGTCCTGGGTTCGAGCCCCGCGTGGTGCGGGATCGTGGATGCGCACTGCTGAGGAGTCCCATACTAGGACGAAACGGCCGTCCAGTGCTTCCAGGTTTTCAATGGTGGTCTAGCTTCAACTGACTCACGATTTCAATCTGTGAAAATACATACTTGACGTGTCTAGAATGCAAGATTAACACCCATTGCTAATAGAACAGGAAAAATTACCTTTAAATGAAATATGAAAATGAGTGATTAATTCAATACAGTAACCCTAACTCACTCTTTAGTGCTGACGAAGTCACGATCTTCCTCGTTAGGTAATTCATTAGTTAGAATTGGACGGTTAGAACCACCATCATACCTTTCTGAATCAGGGCGTTGTTCAATTTTAAAGACACGAAATTGTAAAGCCACTGCAGCGAACTGAAAGAAGTCAGCTAATAAGATATGTATGAAAGCAAAACAAATATACTAAATATCATGAAGACAGTTGATTAAATTGATAAAGAATGCATTAAATGTGGCTAGCAGTGGAGTCTAGGACGTACTTTTCGTCCTATGTGAGACTTGTCAGTTGGGTGTACCTTCATTTCACAGTGGATCTTCACTCCGGGAATCGAACCCAGTGATTACTATTTTAGTTGTATTAACATCACAGTAGCATGTTCGTGGATCGGAATAAACAGAGTAAGATTTGAAATAAATATATCGATTTAAGTCATTATATTTTATGAGAGACAAAAAAGTGAAAATAATCCGAACAATAACGGAGAACTAAAGACAGGATTATATGTAACACACAATGAATAAAATCGATACTGTAGATTACTCATCTGTTGGTTACCTATTATAGTAAACTGAGCCTTAGCTCAACAAAGTCCATGATTCCATCGTACACGAGAAGTGCTTTGAAGAAACCCGTAATCAAACAATAACTTAAGTGTCTTCCATCAGCAAAGCAAAGTGAACTGCTGTGCAGTATACACACCCTACGATAATTGAAAGAGCACTTAGCATGCGACTGAAGTGATGTAAGTTGAGAAAAGTCAAACAAGTCGTTCGTATCTATACAAACATTTCATTATCTACTGATCTAACAAGTATCATTTCACAATTTGAGGGGGAAAAACGTTAACTAAAAATTGTTTACTGTCGTTCAAGATTTTTTCATCAAACTAAATTGTCTATGCACTCTACATTCAGATGAGAATGTCACGACAGGGAACACAATAATTACGACACTTAAGTGTAAGAGATTGGATGTGCTAATGGACAAGATTTGACGTGATCATAGGCCCTAACACAGACTACTTTGGTAAAATAAACAATCTTCAGTAACTATGATATACTTCTTTGATGTATCTTTTAATAGCAGACTATTGAAGTCACTAGCCTTTAACCAAAGAAATCAAGCATTTTATACTGGCTGTTTGTAGTTTTTTCCCCGACGGATTGAATAAATGGAAAAATCAGAAAACCCTACGTAAACATTTATAATCAGAAGTATTCAAAATAAGATAAATACATATATGCGTAGGAAAGATTATTGTTTAAATAAAAGTAAATGTATACCAGTTAACTTATAAGCAGATGGTGCACCAAAGTCGCTAGGTAGATACAACCACTGAAGAAGATTATTAATTTCTATCGATTCTGTATACCAAGGGTAACCTGATAGAGTATAGAAAAATAATGAAAATTCAATCCAAAAAAATCAAATTATAAGGAACTAAAAATAAAACCATCAGTTACTCAATATGTCTAGGTCGGCCAAATCTAGCGAATATACCAATATGACTTTGTAAATCCAATTATGTGTGAATTTTCCTGCTGCCGATAGTACGAATTGCATTTGATCAGTTTAAATTGACACACATCCGTCCTAAATTGATTATCCGATAGTACTTTTTAGTTACACATTTTAGCTAAGTTAGCTTGTGACTACAAATGAAATACGGAAGCTAGTTTTATCCTGTTCAACAGGATACGCCAGACTGTTTAGAATATTTTAGACTATATTATCGTAAGATTATTTGTGTGTACAGTTAAATGCAGGGTTGGCTTGCTGAAATACATAAAGCTTTAAAAATAGATCATTGGAGGAAATAATAACAGTCAACAATTAAACAAACCGAAATGTTAAAATCTCGCCTACTTCTTCCATCACCATTCTAATCAATGATATTGAACAATTAACATGAATGAATAGTAAGAATTATTTAAATTTTTGTCACTTATCTCCAAAAAATTATAACATAAAAAAATACTGTATGCTGTAACATCCTGTAATGAAATGTAAACTGTAAAATATAATTCAAATTGTTTGTGGACTTTTACAAAGGCCAATATTTCGGACAAAAAACATTAATTTCTCAATAAAAGAAGCTTTAGGTACCATCAATAACTGTAAAATCTACAGTACGAATCCTTAATGTAACATTTACTGATAAAGAAGCAGGAAATTTTCAAAGGTTCAACTTGTCTTACCAGATATGCTAAGATTGATTTAAAGACAACTCTAATTAAAGACTAATATCAGCTTTAATACGATAGAGTGTCGATGAGTACAGTGGCGATCCTCTTCCCTAGCGTAAGAATCCTAATAATAGGCATCATCGATCGCAGGTAGAATTAAATCTAGAACTGTTACATATTACAATTACTACAAAATCATTTGATTCCTCAACCAAAAACCAAGTTTATTTAATTTACGATCCAGGGTATTTGTCTAAACTAGTGAATTTCTACCACGAGACATTTAAAAAATGCAGCATAAAATAAAATCTATTACAGTAGGAATATAATTATATTAGAGAACTAATTTATTTGACAATGAAATGCTGTAAACATTTAAAAACTTCACAATTTGTTATTAAAATTCCAAACGATATTACTACAAAGTAACAGTATTAACCAATGACTTCAATTCATGATGTCACTGACAAGTGGACTGAGCCATATTGGTAGATGTAGACTACCTGATTAGGATCCGCGAGACGATACCACCCGATGGTTAGAGACCTTGAATGACATGGCACGAAATCGTTTGCAATGATGCAGGTGCATCCACTCTTTGTGTTCTCCCAAATTCTAATCTTCTGAATTCTTCACGTCCCTTTTCTTTCTCTCTCCAAATTTATTTCAATGGATTATACTCTTTGAATAACATCTTCAAATCCTAATCTTTCTGATTACTGCCTATACTTTTACAATCTCTAGCACTATGAGATTTGAATCGACAACTGCATCTGTGTGCTAATGTGGTATGGCAACTGGAACTGATGTACCTACGTATGAAATTCTACATTGTTGCTGACTGAACCTACTTAGACAAGATAAGGCTTAAAAGGAAAATCTTCGACAAGAAAAAGAGGTGGAGAAAGGAAAACTTACTCAAACATAGTCCAGGTGGTAGACCAATACAACTGGCATATTGTATTGGTATAAGCGCAGCTAGAATTACCATATAAGAAGGCCATAGACGTGCACATACTCGTCGTGGAGAGAATAAAAACACTAACATCAACAGTAAGTATAGTACACTGAAAGCATCGACACGTGCGCATGTAGTGACAACGGTGATACAATGACAAAGCTGAATAAAAAAAGTAAATAAATAGACTGAAGTGAGATGTTTTTGCACAATCCCGTTTTCAAACATAGATCAATAAGTAGTTTTAGTAACATGTAAATAAACAGAAACTACAAAACACTGACAAATAATAAACATCCTATTAGCATAATTTGTCTACTGCAAATTACAAGTATTCGGTGAAGAATGTAAATAACATTTTGCATAAATTTGAAAATTATACGTGACATACTCATTAGTTATATAACAATAATAAAGTTTATTTGAGAAACACTGACTGGATTGAAATGATTTATAGTCGAAGCATAAATTAATGGCCAGAACTCTAAATATGAATCTATCCTATTCATTGAAATTCTATCATAAATCTAATCGAAAAACCTCACACATCAGTAAAGTTCTATTAACTGGATTTTACTGATGATTTTACTCGCTAGTTCAAAAGCGTCTTAATCCATGAGCTAACGACAGATCAATGACAAATATTAGTTTAGGAAATAGTAATTCAGAAAATGTTGATTATGTATGGTGTACCGTAAGTATAAAGTTTAACACTGAAATGTTTGGAAAAGATTCCTCCTCTGGAAAATTATACCTCGTATCTTACAATATAAAAAACTGTAGTCTAAAGAAAATATAAGAAATACCGACCTCCAAACCAAATTTGTAGAATCCATAATTAAAAGCAAATTTGACCACATTCAATAAGTCATAACCCATGGAATTGATCGTAACACCAGGAAATACAATTCCTTCAGCTGGACGAGTAATTTTATCATTGTTGTAAAATTGACGTTGTCTATACGCTATAGCATGCCAGACTACACTGACAACCAGTAATGCACCATATGGCTAAAACAAAAATAGCAATGATAAACACAATTATCAAAGAATCGAATTTCTTAAACATACATTTGATGCGAAAACCCTAATTGCTATAAAACTGAATTAGTTCAGTAAGAAAAACACAATAACCGCATGAGCATGTAATTTTTACAATAGTTATACTTATAAACCCATAAATAAAATCGGGTGAGACTAATTTGTGAAAGAGCGAATCAGAAGCGTTTTAGAGATTTCAAGGTTACGGCGCCAACTTCAGTGCTTAGTGCTAACGTACGATCGGTTTACAGAGAATTCTGTACGAAATGTGATAATTCAGAGGCTATAACAAATAAAACGGCAAGATTATAATTTGTGAACGAATCAATCAGGTATAAGATAACAAATCTCGGATTTTAACGCGAAGACCTTCCTTCCATTTTGCTAAATATTTAGCCATATATATATATATATATATATATATATATATATATATATATATATATTTCAGATTCTCCCTTGTCTTTTTTTTCTCTTCCCAAGTTTATTTCACTGTATTATACTCTATAAGTAACATCTCCAAACACTAATCTTTCCGATTACTGCTTATACTTTTATTACCTCTACCACTACGGGATTTGAATCGACCATTGCATCTGTGCTAATGTGGTGTGGCAACTCGAACTGATGTACGTACGTACGAAGTTCTACGTTGTTACTGACTGATATATATATATATATATATATATATATATATATATATATATATATATATATATATTTCTGGCATCATAGCTGATGTCAGTTTGTGATGGAAACCCCATATATAATTCTTAACTAAGGCAAATTATGACAATTACCGTGAACTGGATAATAAAAGTGTTGAGTCGGCTTCTGGAGAACTTCAACGGAGCCTCTAGAGGCCTAAAAGGAGCCGAAGAGTCCTAGCCAATCAGAGTATGATGGAACGTTCTAGAATTCCAACGTGGCGTGCTACTATTGGTTGGTAGCATAATATGTCGTTATCGGATTGGCTGTAAAATGTTGATTTAACAGACGCCAACATCTATAAATACCCATGATTTTCTGTACAAAAATGAACCTTGGGATAAAGTATTTTCTCTCATACTTGCGTCTTCTCTCTGGTGTTCAAGTCGCTGTGTAGTACTAGTCTGCGGGTTACCAGAATAGCTTAGGAAAACGGATATAGCGTTCGACCGACAAGGCTTATCAAAATGCACCAGTAACACTAGCTGCAGCCAGGTACTACTATATAAACGGATGTTTGGAGAGCGAACAGACCCCTACATAGGCTTGTTTATGTGCATTGTGTCGTTATCCACAAGTGCACTCAACAACCGGAGTGCACATAAACAATATTGAAGCTATGTGGTCGAAGCTCAAAGAGTTTTTGAGACTATCATGGCTCCAGAGGCCGACTATTCTGTAGCTGTATGGATGGATTCCTCTACTGCATGCATTACGATTTTAGAACCTCTGAACCTCTTTCTAACCGTGGCAAGTTTCTGAACCACGTATCCACTTTATTTCCTTTGGTTTGTATAATATTTTTGCTCTATACTAAATGTTTTCTGATTGGCTAATATTCCTCAAGGTCACTTAAGATTCGTTCAAATGTCGTCCATAAATTAGTCTCGTCAAAACTCAACAATCTCTACAACCCCGTACAGATAATTACCATGTGCTTACTAGTGACTAGCTTCGTGAGGTAATTCTTGAAGTTCTAGTGAAGAGGCACGACCAGTGGAGTAAATCCGTGTCGGGCAGAGACAACTATCTACCTCAGACAATGGAAGATGGTTGCGCAATTTCGTGGATTGGTTGAAGTGAGAAGTTAGCATCATCGAATGCCAGCTCAGTAGTCGAGATGTTAGGTGTTCGCGCGCGAGACCGAAGGTCCTGGGTTCGGAACCCGCATGTGGAATCGTGGATGCGCACTGCTTAGGAATCCCACACTGGGACGAAACGGCCGTCCAGTGCTTCCAGGTTTCCAAAGGTGGTTTAACATTGATCGATTCATGATCTCAATTCATAAATAGTTCACCTAAATTTTAGGCAAACAAAAAACGTTCGTATACATAACTTTAAGACTAACCATAATATACTGACGAAAGTTGTCGACCTTTTTAAAACCGAGCCAGTTAGTTGGATCTAATGTAGTGTTGCGAAGCTTGAAACCCAATAAAAAAAAACAATTACGTTAAACAAATGAAATAAAATAGATTATTTTCTAGGCGCAACAATCATTAAACAGATATTTCCCATTTACAATCAATTTAGAATCTGGCAAAATGAATAATAAAACAGACTGAAATAATATAGTAGTAATGACAGTATAGAACGACAAAAATGCATGTAACAATATTGGAATTCTAGATCTATAGGAAGATAAAGTTCAAATGAATCTAGGTATATGTGACTAATTCTGAGTCATGTCTTCAACTACTAATCACGGTTCTAGTGTGGATCAAATGCTTGAGAGAGAAAGTGGAACAATTCACACCATTAAATCAATTAATAAAAATACAGCTTTCTAATGATAAGTAAAAACTACCACTTTTAGAATATATGAATATTTCCATTGCTGTTTTTTTCAACAAAAGGAGATTCAAGTTCGAGTATTGCTTGACATAAATAGGGAACTATGTTTTTGGTGGGCTAATAGTGAGAGAATATTTCTCGGTTTACCTGTTAAGAGTATAACGGTACTGAACAGATCCAATAGATGAGCGAAACATGTCACATGGTTTTCTTTATATGAGACTTATCAAGTACAGATTCGCGTAATTGACTTTGAGCCACTCTTCATGTATGAGGACTACTGATACTACTCGCTTGCCCAAATCGAAATAGGCGGAGCGTGACTTGAGCCTATGACCCAGTGGTTGAAAGTCGAACGCTCGAACCCCTAAACCGCAGCTATAACAAGATGTCTTTCCTTTCCTAAGAAGCAGAATGCTTATGTTATCCCTCAAAAACGATTTCCAACAAAACAGTCTAGTGTGCCAATATCCCATTAGAATAGAATCAGTCAGAGTACAATAACATATTGGAAGAAAAGAACAACCAAAACAACAATTAATTTGTATTACCTTTACACAAGATGATGATGAAATGTTCCAGTTGACAGCACTCAACTGAAAAGTCATCTTACAAAGTATTTGAACACTAGTCCATATAAAAATAAATGTTGTCATGAATCCATGCAGATTTGGAAAAGGGAAACAAATGACGAGAAATATAAGAGAGATAATATTCGTTGCTGAAACCTACAATAAAATAATTTTAAAAAAGAATTGATTTAAGAATATTATTTAAATTAATAAATGAATTCAAGTATACTTTATCACATCCTATAATTAAAGATACTACTTATAATAGATTTTCAAAAGAATTTATATGTACAAATTCCAGAAAAGTTAGTAGGAAGATTAAATTGATACAGTCATCATCAACATAGGATCTGAAACAAATGTGATTCGATTTAAGTTGCTACATCTCACACACAAACACACTAAAAGAAAATCAACAAGATAAGAAGTATAAAGTGGAAAATAATATGAAAAGTAATAAAAATCTAAGCATAATAAATATAATGGAAAAGAAGTAAATAAAATCAAAAGATGTAAAATTACGATTGACATTAAATATAGCATTACTTATTATAATCAAAATGTTAGAAACAGTTGGGGATTATGAAGTAATAATGATAATAGTAATAATAATATTATTATTATTATATTTGCAATATCCTAACGAGTAAAGCATTGAGTTTCCGACATTTCAGGACTTAATGTAAGTTGGTTTCTCAAACAATAACATGACTAAATCCAAGTAAAAAATTCAAATAGTACGAAAATAATAAGTCAAAATATTTAGTATTAAAATAATAAAAGAATTTAATGGTATACAATATTTCGAGAAATTCACTTTTTTCCCCAATAATTTAAAAACTTACATCATCCGTACAAGTGACAATTATCACTAATCCAACTACTTTAATCCAATGTATTTCAAGGAAACGCCAACAATGATTTGTGAGACTATCAGCCCAACAATATAATTTCGAAACAACTATTTGAAATGCTGAATTCACATCTTCAATAAAATCTACAAAAAGATATATGAAGGAGATATAATGACTCAAGTTGTCGTAATTTGTAAACGATGAGACAGCAAAGAGCAATTAAGATAACTAGCTGTTAATATATAAGTAGTAATTAAATTCACCTATGCATATTATTTTGAATAGGCAACTAAATGGGACCACAGGAAGTAGTTTCATGTAGTTTTGCTAGTAATATTATATAATGTTTTTTAAACAAAAGTAGCATAAACGATGGAATACAGCCAAGTTTTTCGATTGTTTAAAATCAGCAGTTAAACTATGGAGGGTCTCCCATACATGCTACTGGACTTTAATTTAGCTGCCGATGATGATGAGAAACATATGTGTTAGTAGTGTAAATGAGTTATCTATAAAGAACTTTTTCAACATTATTTATGCGGCTAACAGTGTTGACAATGGAATGAATGCTAGCACATGATTAATTCCCCATGTAAATAAGTATAGGATAAACCTTAAACTAGCAAAATGCAAAATACTTCTATGAAAATAATAAATCTGTGTATAAGCTAACTCTTGCAAGAAAGCGATTAGAAATAGTCAGAATGCTTTTGTATCTGATAGCTGGGTGATTCTCAGTGAAGATGAAGAAAGTGAGATTAAATTACGTTAAGCAATAGCTATAGTGGGTGTATCTCAGCCTTGACCAAATATGGTACAATAATAATGTTAATCTGACCAGAAAATGTTTATAATGAAACAGTGTAGGCACCTGAACTATACGCTTGTGTAGCGTGGCCTCATATAAAGCTTACTGTCACACAAAGGCGATACTGTATAAATGCTAAAGACTGGAAATATAACAGAAAAATGGTGTGTTTTATGTTTTGGTTACATTTGATACAGTTATCCAAGGTTTGAAACTAAAAAATTTGACACAAATTTTGGAAAGAAAATTAAAGAATAAACCGAGCATAATCACAAATCGACTTTTTAATAAATCACTGGATAAACTAGTTGTCGAGTTGAGCAATAATACTTCAAAAGTGATGGGGATAAAAGTCAGTCAGTCACAACGTAGAATTTCATACGTACGTACATCAGTTCAAGTTGCCATACCACATTAGCACACAGATGCAGTTGTCGATCCAAATCTCATAGTGGTAGAGATTGTAAAAGTATAGGCTGTAATCAGAAAGATTAAGATTTGAAGATGTTATTCAAAGAGTATAATCCATTGAAATAAATTTGGAAAGAGAAAGAAAAGGGACGTGAAGAATTCAGAAGATTAGAATTTGGGAGAACACAAAGAGTGGATGCACCTGCATCATTGTAAACGATTTTGCGCCATGTCATTCAAGGTCTCTAACCATCGGGTGGTATCGTCTCGCGGATCCTAATCAGGTAGTCTACATCTACCAATATGGCTCAGTCCACTTGTCAATGAATTTATAGATTTGTGCCATGTTTTGGTCTGACCGCCCCTAGCTTTCTTCTATCCTACTCCTACACCATAAAACACCTCTCTTCGGGGCATTCGGTGGTCGGCGATACGTATTACGCATCCCAGCTATCTCAGCTGAAGTTTTACTACTTCACCAACTGATTCGCCATCCTTACCTAGTACTCGTTTTCTAACAACTGCATTACTTACTCGGTGGTCCAAGGATATACGAGCAATGCTTCGATGACATCTATGATCGAATACTAGTAACCTACGAATATCCTCTACTCTTACTGGCCATGTTCCACCGCCATGACGTAGAACGGAGCGAACTGCTGTGCAGTAAATCCATCCTTTGTTTGGTAGACCGATATCTCGCTTACGCCATAAATGATGTAAGTTGGAAAAGCTAGTCGAACTTTCTGTATCCGTGCTGAGATTTCGTCACACACCAGACCACGAGGGCTGACGAGACTCCCGAGATAAGTGAAGCGGTTGACACACAACTACTTTATTCTTTATCATTAGTTCAGGTGTCGAAACAACCCAATCCTGAAGCAACATTTTCTTAATAAAAAACTTAAATAAACATTCATAACTTGTCTTAGAAACAAAGTACGCCAGCATGTTACTATGCATATTTATTATATTTATTTAAACACATAAACATAGGTACAAAAAGGCACCAAAAAGATATGCGCCACATAAATCATTCGATTTGTATGAGGGCTAGGACACTCTCATACTAAATATGTTAGTATTCTAACTTATTGCGCACTACGTACCATGAAATACTGATAAGATAGAAGACAGTGACCTCAATAAACGACAACCACTGTACAGAGAAATGTTATTTTGATCCTTAATTTTGTTTAATCAAGTTAATCATATGGCGTTACGGAAAAAGATCAACAGTGGAATTATCGATTTTCTTGGGTATTACCATTTCACTCTCACTCCTAGTTCAATTGAATTCTTTCCTTAGGTCATCGGCTATTCTATTTTGCATGACCAAACTGATTCATGGTTATCTGTTTCAACCTTCTATGCGTGATTATAACTTTGGTACTGAAACAACATAATGATAACTGACTAGAGATTTTGCTCTGAAGGTATGCTTTTAATTGTTAATTAGGTTTCATTAGTCGACTTAAGTGGAAAACCAAGAAGAGATATAATTGTCGTTTAACTACATCTCATTGGTTCAGTTTTAAACATGAACTGGAATAGTTCTATACAACATAAGTCATGCTATGAGCAAATAAAGTTGGAGACCTTTGAAAACTATTTTTTAGAAATGATATTGTTTTCGGAAGATAAACAATTAAAGGAACGTAGTTATCTGTTAATTCGAATAATTAGATGCAACGACCAGAAATGCTAATAAGAAATCTCAAACTGGAGGCTACCGATAATTATTTCCTCTAAAACAGTAATCTCGTGAAGAAATAATGACGTTTCTACAAATAAGTGTTGATAAAACCACAAACGCGACTTAGATAACTAATTCACACAATAAAATATTTAATGTATAATAATCTGCAAGTCAAAAAATCTAAAGAGAAAGAGTTAGTCTACGAATGAATGTTTAAGTCTGAAACCTACTGGACATGTTACTACTCTGGGAAATAGATGTATTTGAATTGTGGTCGTCAGAAATCCCAGAACGTGAATTCACAGAACCCCTGGAAACTTGAGGCAATCTGAAATATTAATAGAGTGAGACCATTTAACGACATTAGATTAGTTTCATCATATAAAATGTTAAAAGATTATATACATATACACATGGCAACTTATAGATACGACTATTAGGTCCGACATAAAGTACTTTTTTTGTTTGAAAGTGATAGAACCTAGTGAAAATGTGTAAAGCTAAAAAATCTCTTCTGTCATTTTAAATTATTCATTACGACGACTCGGCAGAAGTATCAATTATGAATGATCATGAAAAGTAGTTTCCATATGAATAATATAAAATGCAAATTGTATCCATGGTTTAAAATCTAAATGCAGTATAGTGACAAAAGCAAGTTATAGCCAATCTTTCTCTTGAAATAAATTTCTCTCGCTTTTCATTGTATAGTCATTGCAAGATTTATCTAGAAGATTCATACAAACTTGGTTCCAAAGTTTGAAAAGCGAATGAATTCCAGAATTTTATAAGACTAAATGATGTAACAACCTAGAATGGTAATTTTTACCATGATAATTATATTTTCGACATTGCGGTAATTTCAAATAACCAAAAATATTAACTAAAGGCAGAAAAGATAAATGCAAAAGCACCATCGTACAACATATGATATAACACGATACCGTGAAGATATGTTTTAAGCAATCTAACAGAAAATTTATTCATTTCACAAAACAAATATCATAACTCCATTTTTTCTACTCCACAAAAACTAATTTAGACTATATAAATATGAAGTCACTTTGTGCTGCGATTAATGTAATTTTAAAAACAAAAGAAACAACTTAAAATTGGCACCATTAAAAGAAATTTAATCAAATAGGAAAAAGGATATGATTTGCAAATCATCGATGAACTTAGAACCTTATCTGTGTGATGATAAAAATTGAAAAAAAAGTTCATCTCGATATTAAAAATTGTCAGTTATATAAGTCAAACGTAGGCTATTAATTATCATGAACATAAGTATAACTATATAGTATTGCTTATTTCAAACCGCTAGGACAAAACATAAAACTTACTGGAAACGATTTAATGCGGATGCTTTAAGGAATGGTATATGAAAGTAATGCACTTGTAAAATTATAACAACTAAGAATACAACTGGTGTTAGTAAACGTTCGAAAAGAGCTGCACTTTCAAAAGTTTCTAATCCAAACGCCTTTAAGCTATTAAACAAAAAGAAAATGTCAAAAATAAGAAAAATAGAATATATCACATAATTTATTAGTATCTCACTTTATCCTACGCGAAATAAAACATTTCAACCTTTACACAAAGAAACATTAATTCAAAGAAACAAGACATTAACTTGGTAAAAATTGAAATATGTGATAGTCAGTTAAAACTTACATTTCAGGTGAAAGATGTAGTTTATTCTGCCAGAAACTGGGTGACTCATTAAATTGAAAAGTATAAATACACAACAGCATCGCCATAGAATATACAACAATGACCCACCAAAAACATAACATTTGACGACGCCAAATAGCATAACTTATCTGAAAAAGGGGAATTATGAGTACAGATTTGCAGCAAAAAACGCATTCAAAAGAATATATGGTAGTATAATGCACAACAATTTCATAATAAATATACCTAGATGAAGCAGGTGCGTCAAAAAACGTTTATAACGATACTTCGCGTCATATAGTTACAGGGAATTGTAGGCAGACAGTAATTTATAAATATTTATTATTGTAACAGCAATCGAAAAAGTGCATACTACCATTAAGATATACAATTTTTCCGCTACATGCCAGGACTGAGAGAAAATTAAATAGTTTCAAACATCTAGTAAATTTAGAATAATGGGAAAAACGCAACACCGAAGTATTACGTCCTTCTGTATCAACAAACATTATTTATCAAACCACTTATATTTGTTTAAGTAAACTAAAATAAACTTTAATCTGCTGACTCTATCTCACCTGAAAAATCAACATGAAGTAAATCAGCATAACCATGTAAACAATACGAAACACAACGACAGGCTGTTGAACGGAAACCAACAGCATACTCAGACAACAAACGACAATCCAATACTTTACGCATAAAGAATGCATAAACTCAGCTATGATATGAAATAGAAAAGAAAAGAAACGTAGGATGCGAACATTATTTATATTTTATGTATAAATGTAAATTTACACTTTATTTGTAACTTCAAACTAAACGTATCTCAATACGACAAAATTATCTAAATATCTAATTAAAATTTTTTATTATAAGGACATTATTATAAATCGGTTACTAGTCTTTATGGAGCATGATATTACGTGTATTGTTCGTTTAAATTGAGACATGTTTGGCGAACAATCATCATAATATAGAAGAGCATATAATTATTGCCAACTTAGTCCCAAACATGTGTTCAAAATAACGTATGGCATGATTCAGATAGACAGTAAATGAAAGAGCAATATTAAAGTAACTCATCTACCAACTACAATTATTTGTTCTTAATTGCTTCGTAGAGTACTAAAAATAACGAATTAACCTAAAGACACATTAACCAAAGCGAGTGGAGTGGGGTGTGAGTCTGTAAATAATTGACTAGGAGTCGAGAACTTTAGAGACTACGGTGAGGAAATTAATCTATTAGTTCTCTAAAAAAGGAAATGAAACGCTTCATAAGAAGAAATTACAAAAAGTATACATACGTCAAACATAATTAGGGATATCGTTGAATTGCGTTAAACTATGGAATAGAATAACTAAAATGGTACAATTGCATATAAAAGTATCATGTAGAGACCCTTATCTTAAAATAAAAATGTTATAGTCCAAACAGTATCTGAAATCTGATATTATACAAACTAATCAAAGCTCCTAAGAAGAGTAGTCAAAGAAATGTCATTTCGTCCGTCGATCAGTATTCTACTGATTCATTTTAGCAATCCCAAAATGTCATTTAATTACATATAAGAAAATTTCCCTACATGGCAACCATAGTGTAGATATTATCATTTGAGGTTTCATAATCTCACTTTTGTGAAATTGACTTGAACTGACACGAAGCACTAAACTGTATATACAATGTGATAGAGAATTGAGCATTAAATCAAATCGAATACCTAATCAAAAATCATAATGCTAGCAGGAATCACAAACAAGAAGCATCAGAAAGCTTGAGAAAATTACTCCCCCTTAGAATGAAAGTATACCAACAGCTTTAAACAAATTACGAGGATAAATGAAAATAAATTTGAATAAAATTACTAAATCGTCTGTAAATATTATTGTCTACAGTTCCGAAAGACGCTGCAGGGCCATAAATAGCAGCATTATAGCCAGTATGTGTTTGAAAATCGTCGGCCATATTTAAGAAAGGAGTTAGCAAGATATTATTTCCTTCTTCTTTATTACTTCGTCTACGAAACTTCAAGACAGTTGGCAAAGACTTCTGAAAACGAGGAAGTGGAGTTGAGCCTGAACTTGTTTGTAAATCTTCACTTTTTAAAACAACTCGTTGATGATGTGCTGATAATCGCTTGGCTGCACGTTCCATTACAAACAATCTCAGAGTCAACCAAAAGCAAATTAAGAAGCCCATCTAAAAGAAGAGAAATTATAAGATAATGGGCTTATATTTACGTTATATTTTACTCAAATACTCAATGTAACAATAATTCCTAGTTACTTGAAAGAGACGCTAAGAAAATATCTATTCAATTTCGGTTATTACGATTTCCCCAGAAAATATAATCTATCTTGATTGATAACCCGATAAGTCAGAAAAATTAATCAAAACTGGTCAATCCTCCGCGATAATCCATTCACAATAAATTTATTCATGACGACTGACAGTGATTATAGGATTTACACTACGTCACCTTTTAGCCTACAACTATCGTAATCTAACATCGGTACGTATTTTCCGCTGTGAGAGGTCAGTTAATCTGGGCTTTTAATACACGACATCTAACATCATACCTTAATAAAGTGATGTTTTAATCTCTCTTCATTAGCATCTGGGACTATCACTTTTTAATATCCTGGGACATCACACTCCACAAATACATCACATCTGCTGGGTTTTTCCTTATTTTCTTCATTGATAAGACGACAGAACTGACTCGAATGTGCGACTACTCTTTATATAATTAGTCCACCATGGAGGGTCTACGAGATTGGATAAGTCCATGAAAAGTTTTAGCTAGCCAAATACACCACAGAGTATTTTGGGGCTCAGATGTCAATCTAATATGAGCTCTGTTGTTTACAATGGCATCATTTTAATAATTTTTCTAAACAGTACCTACATGATCATAGATACTTTCTTTTGAAAATCTTAGTAACATTTTGAAAACTAGCAAGGAAAACAGTTTACATAATGCGGTTTTCATGTTAGATTAATGTCCTAATGTTTTTTGACCAATGAGTAGAAATAAACAATATTTTACTTAAATTTTATTCAAGTTGACAATGAGTGAGGAAATTTTGAGCATCAATGTCAATAGGAGTAATTTTTAGACAAAGACTGATGAACAGAATGATTATCTGTCTTAATTTTATCGTAATAATTTATTTAGTTCACTAAGGTGACTTTGTAAGAAAACCAGACGTCTCCTGATATTGAACCGATAAGTATGAGACATCTTAACTGACCATAAGAATAATGCTATTTACGTGTCTTAGTTATAGCTATATCATATATATGTGAAGTTATATCTGCAGTATGAATCACTGATAACACATCTACTTCTTGCTTTTAAACTGAACTAGACAAGATACTAGTAAGAGGATGATGATCACCTTTGTTTCAGGCTTGGTTAACGAGGTATGAATTGGCTGTTAACATTCCACTTGATATAGATGCACGTATAATTATTATGCTGGCTTACTACTGAAGACAAAATGTTCTTTTGCTAAAAGTTGCTAACCTGAGGTAATGGTTGATGTTCAACGAGTGAGTTTACAGTATTTTTACTCACTAAACAGGGGGATTTTCTGAGAAATAACTTCCTACTTCTAAGTCGTTTCCTACTTAAAATCTATCTGACATAGCGTAAGTAAAATACACTTGTGATACATAGAATATAATTCTGCATTTCTAAATTCAAATACATGATTTTACGATAAGTCTGCGCACAAGATTAAAGTAGATATTTTAAGTGAAGTCGTTGACACGCCAACAGATCTACTTCAGTAATTCGCACATTTATTGGTCTACAAACGGTGAAGCTTTAACATAAGAACAGAAAGTTTATATGGCACTTTACAATCGAGATTAATAAGTAAACTGTATATTTTTTAAAGAGTTACGTCTAGTTACTGTGAAAATTAAAATTACCTGAAGAGCAAGAGCGCCAACACAATGATCTGATCTCTGCATTCCCAATTCAGATAATTGAATACCATCGGGTGTCACTGCTTGCGGTAGTTCATCGGAATTTAAATTTAATCCATAGATATACTGTATTAGAATTAGGACAATCGCATAGAGGACAATCAAAGGACTAGAATATAAACATGCAGCTCTAGATTTGGGGACGATCCATAGGATGCACGCAGATAAAAGCAGAATGAATGAAAGCCAACTGCGATAAACAACAGCCCAAGCCTACGAACAATGAAGCAAAAAGAAAACTCGTATACATCACAGTCAGGAAAGGAAAGGTAATGATCTATAGAAATGAGCATAATGTGTTCACGAAAGTTATTCCATACAGAAAATTGAATAACCAAACAAACAAGTATTAAAACATAAGTAGACTAACAGTAAGAAGGTATCAAGAAGTTTGAAAGTACTGTTTCGTTTGATGCACCAGGACGTCAAGGTGAGTGGATATCAGTCATTAGCTTACCAACATAAACCGATGTACCCTGGATAGTAATTTGTAATAAAATAACTCATCAACAAAAAGATTTGCTTCTATGACCTATTTATTCAAAAATTTCGGAACCAGATAATTAAATTATATGCCACGTAAATTTCCGTGTATTACTTTAGAATTGAATGAAAGCTGATAATCTAAGCCATTTCAAAGGATAAATGGTAATTAATCATAAAAGTCTACATGACAACTTAACTACTAGACGTAAAACCATCAAGATTTCTAACTTACGACGAGAATTCACACCACATAGCAAAGTATTTTGCGCCAGAGTTTTCGACGTTTAAGACCACCAAGTGACAAACAAATAATACAAGAATCACGTTATAGCATCAAACCTGCATCGGTTTGGGCACCCGGGCAGTATCACAGCCTACACAAAAATCAAGTGACTTGTGTGGCCCATATGTATTCGGTGCCCTTTGTGTTCAAATAAATGAATAGCTACAGTATAGTCTTTCTCTACATACTGAACATAGTGTAACCCCCTTCGACGTAACAGCGTTACACATGCAAAACACTCTCCCTACACATATTTAACATTGTATAATCCTTTCGATGATGTTTTTTTGTTTTAATAACTTCCTACTTCCTTTTTTTCTCTCTTCGGTTCGCTGTGACGATGCAACCTATACAAGACACTTGTGTAGGAAACTGTACTTTCTTTCAACTGTCTAGATAAACTGTTGTAACCTAATTAGACGGAACTGTGAAAAAAAGGATCGCAGACTTACTAGCAAGTTTGTAAAATCGTAAAGAACTTCATAGAAAATATTTACAAAGATTGTCAGATATTTCGTTGAACAAACATACAAAAAAATAATAAAAAATTACCATCATTGCAATAAGCGTGAGAATGTAACTGTTCTTGATTGCTGAATAGTGCAAACTGAGCAGAAATGGACGTTCAGTAGTAACATTATTTCCAGACCATCCATACATGTATGTGGCAAAAGGAGGTGTAAGGCCAAATAAAGCATCAAAATGAGGTTCTACAGGAGGCGATAAAAAACCTTCATTAGAATTATTTTTTGCTTCCAGATGTAGTGCAGTAATTTGGTGCGGAAATTTAGTAAGGGATTTTGGAACGTGGCTTGTGCAATCTGTTGACACTTCCCCTCTAATATGACTTATACCAAGAGATAAAGATTTTTCTTCTTGATCCACGGTCGTACATTGTTTTGAAGGACTATGCTTCTGAATGAGGTTCTGGTTAGGATGCAATTCCACATAAGATTGATCTTTAGATGTTATGTTTTCATTTCCACGGTCAGTAGGCAGAGCAGAAACTGTGGTTGTCAAATTGGTAGAGAAGAAGGAATCTGAGGAAGTAACTGCAGAATTAAGTAAGTTTTCCTGAGATACTAATTCTGTAGTACTTGGCATATTCACATTATCCACCTAGTATAAAAGCAAAGCCGTATACTTACATCGATAAATGACTAATATGGTAATAAAATAAAATAACAACACCAAAGCACATCTGCTATGTGGCCCGAATCGATGCATGGAAAATACTTGAGCCCATAATTGGATCGCTTCAAGAAATAAAAAGAGTCTCGCCCTTGATATCAGATTGAATGAAAGGCCTCAACCGATTTCTGGATCACGATTAAAACATTTCACTTCCAGTGCTAACACGAATGTGAAATTCAGTAATTAATTTTATTAGTAGAATGCAAACCACTAGAAACCTATACTAAATAAACAAATGCTTGAGCAAGCAGCTATTTTTGCTTTTGCTTTTCAACCAACTAGTGTAGGCCATACACAAAATTTAAGAATACAACGCTGTAGTATACAAATAATAATAATTCACACAAGTACAGCAATATTTAGATATATTCTACAGAAATATGTCCTAACAAAACGATATAGAAAGTACTGAGACGCACACAAATAACTACTACTGACTGATATAAATTTATTTATTTATTCAAACACATAAACATTAGTATAAGAAGGCTCCAAACATATAGATGCTACACCGTCACAAGGCTTATGTAAGGAGTAGATTACTGCTCAAACGCCCAAACCGAAGCAGGTGGTTTTCTTAGGCGGCCACCCCCAGAATATTTGACCTAGAGGGCTAATCCACAAGGCAGTGGAGCGACGTCAGGAGATGAAGTCTAACGGGAGCCATTTCTTCCTTCAGGATGCTGGGGTCCATGAGCACCATTGGTTTAGAATCAGGATTTTCCAAATCCCATAGGTGAACCCTCCGTGTCCACCAACGTGTTTTTCGTCCTCTCAACTTCATAAACAACACCCCCACTGCGGGAAGGCAGTGAGTGGGGCTTCCCTGGCAGTGGCTGTATACGTCACTGATATGAATACAGTTCAGTAATTTCAGGAAACATAGTACCGCCTATTCCAAATTCGCAATTTTATTCGTATTTAAATAGAAAGAAGCACATGAAGATTCATATACCCACCTGAAAGATAACCCATTTATGTTTTTTAGTGCATGAAGAGAGTAACACAATGGTAGAGGTTGCTAAAAATTTGGCAGTGTCACTAATCGCTATAATTATACAGCAATTACTAATCGTGGTTGAAAACTGGGATGCCTGAAATAATGCTTTCAAAACGTGAATAATTCGATTTTCTATAATGTCCTTTAACCATCTGGTACAGAGGTAGAGAACAAAAATCAAGTACTTAGGAAAATTGTAAGCTTTAGGTAAATAGGATGGCGTAAATCACGAGAGAAATATACTCATTACAAGCAAAAAACTTTTATAACATTTACAAAATCCCCTTGAATATACAAGTGGATCTGGTAAAAAAAAGTCCAACTAAAAATCAAAATGCTTGCCTCACATTAAATTAAAAAGGAGTAATATTTCATGTAATTACCATTTCAAAAACAAAATCCGATCCATAGTGGATTAGGATATTTCCTACTGATTCTTACAGGATTACATAGCGACTTATTTAGAAATAAGTTCAAATGTATCCAATCAAATAAGACTCGTAAATCAGTTAAACCTGAAGATGGAAAAACCTAGTTCAATATGTAGTTTGAAAATATTTGATTCTAATATCTTGTATTTGAGATATAACAATGTGAAATGAACTTACATTCTCATCATGACAGCTAGGTGGTACTTCACTTGGGAATGTAGAATCTCTAATATTGTTCCGAAATAGCTATGAAAACAAACAAGGAAACTCCTTACAAGCAATAATTAGAAGTTAAATTATCAATTTTTCAAGTAGTAGAACAATTATGAGATAAATTATTGGTGTTCAACATGTACTTTCACTTGAATTTCGTTGAATAAATATCTTATTAACAATCTGGTACAAATGGTAATTTGTAGTTATGTTATAAGGAAAATTTTCAGCCATACAGCCATTTGTATCTAACCAATGGTTAATAATAGACCAGAAATACTAGCTCTTCCCACATCCTAGAACAATTAAACCTTGTTTTAAAAAAATATTATGAATAGCTATTTTACTTGAACTAAGTAGCAGAACAACAGCAGGAGAAATTTAGTCAAATATAACGTCAAGTTATGAATGGAAGAAAGAGCGCATAGTCACTTGATAAACAAACTAAACAAAATTTAGACTAATAAACGAGAAATGCAATCATGGTGCTTCGTTTGATTCAAACTAACAAGGTGTCTTACATCATACGCAAAAAATGTGTAACTCATAGACAGTTACAAAAAGCCTAGATGGTTGTAGAGCCACTTCATATACTCATCACCTATAATTAATAAATACTTTACAAGGATTACGAAGTCTTACAAAAAGTTGTGGAGGCTTACCGGTTGTGAAGAAACGCTAGAATGTGAATCTAACCAGCGTCGAGTTTCTAACACCAAAACATAGTACAGTAACATCGTAATAGGTGGAGCCAGACAATCTACAACACGAAAACTACTTGGGAATATAATTTCACCGGGTTTTTTACATGAGGTGTGCATAATATAGTACAAACCAAGTAGCCTACAATGAAAAAGACAAAACTATACATTGAGTGATTTTTTAAATGTTGACACCACTTAAGAACTACTACTCAGAAAACATGTAGTAACGTACACAAATTACAGTTAAGCTCAAATACTGAATTTTCTCTGGTTTTAAGAGCCATGGAATAATTACAAACTATATGAACCGGTTAACGATCACCGAACTAGCCATTATTACTACGTTCGCCCATTTCCTTTCCCTTCTGTTGACTATTTCTTCTTGTTCTGATGAGAAATGTAAAATAAATAAAAAGTTGTGCCGATCCCCACTTTGCATGTCTTTCTTTGTTATTTAGGTTACCTCCTAACTGAACTGTTTACCAATTATTATAATTATGAATTATTATTAGTTCACTCATATACACTAATTTCTTTTCGCTGTTCTTTTTATTATACGCACCTAACATTCTCTATCCTTTCACAACCTCATTCTTATTATGTAGCGCATATGTGTTTGGTGCTCCCTTGTACCAATTGTTATGTCCAAATAAATATATAACGCTACAAACAATTGATGGTTGAGAGATTTTAACTACTTAAACCAACTAAAAATCGAAAACGAATGGATAAACATAAATTACTGGCTTGGAGTGATAAAAAAGACCCAAACACATGCAAAACGTTAGCTAGAAATTACGGATAGGATATACGAAGACAACTTTAGGGTACGATTAAATCCATAACCGATACGTTTTGCTACTTATGTAGTTTCATTTTATTAGTCTAGTACTCCACATACATCACTCAATCAAACCTTATTGTTCATAGTAAGATACTTGTTGTTATCTTGAGCAATTTTACTTTTCGACTGTTCACATGGGAACGTATTTCATACCACCGACCCAATACTACTTAAAATGAACTTTAAAGTACAACGACCCAACGTAATCTCTTAAAAAGCCATACAGTACCCAAGCCCTGATAATGATCACATTTCAAAATTAACAATATAAGCGATGTTTTATAAAGTCAAGCTAGTGAATCTTCTAACTAAAAACAAGAGTACTTCATACCGATCTGCAGTCACGCACTGTTTTATCCCCAAATGTGAACTCTCACTCCATCCCAGAAATCCATGTCACTTACAAATCTACTTCTAGTTGAATTTATGATCTGTTCAAACTGTCTTTAATCGCTAAATGTTTGCTTTACGAAAGAACCCACCTACACTGATATCTGACCGAACCATTCAGTGTTATTCAATATTGTTTTATTCAACAATCACACACTGACGTAGGCTGGTCATAACTCTAACAAACCTTGCAATGATGGTTGGTTAATCATGATCTCACGGATAAAGCCCTAAGGGTCATAAAACCTTATGATGTAGGGTTTTACTAAGCGAGACTCAAAAAAGAAGTTAGTAAGCATTTTGTGATTTTTCTACATGGGCAGAAAAATGTAAACAAAATGGATGAAACCTTCTGGTCACATTTTTAACTGAAGTTACCATTCCACCAAGATTCAGAGATTTCCTCACAAATATTTGATCTGTCATGTGTTAGTGTTGAAAATAATACTTTATTTGGTATTCGATTTGATCATTCATTCATTCACTGAATCAAACAGCTAATTAAGCACCAATTTCTTAATGCAAAGGATGATTTACTAAAATGAATGGGAGTCAGTCAAAATAATTTAAATACGTGAGGAATCACATATTTCTACCATAATAACAGTAATGATAATTATTTAAACTTGATAAATCTAAAACAATTATTACTCGATTTATGTAGCTAACCAGTCAATATAAAACAGATTGCTAAACGTAGATAAGTCTTACATGAGGTGTGCAATTTAATGTACAAAAGAAATCAGTCTATATCTTACCGTGCTAAGAAACTTCCATCCTTGCAGAATGCTTGGAAGAAAGGAAACTGATATAGGTAGTATAAACAAACATGCAATCCACTGTACACCAAAAGGAAAATCCGTAAAGAAGCAAACGGTGTTGAGCTGACTCTATTTCTACAGGCCCAATATGTACATGTAGCGAGGAATGATAAAAGATAAACGCAAGATGGCAACGAAGGTGAGGTTATTCCAGCAAAACACACAAGTAGTACGGTTATTAACATACGTAACGAATCCATAGCCCAAGCACGCCACAATCTTTTTTGGTTTTCATTCCAAAACGTGGTAAAATTAAAGTGAGTTCGGTCCAGCTGTTTGTCTTTTGTAGCACTAAACGTTTTGATGTGGTGGTGAGTAAATTTAACTTACGAAGGTTTGGGGTTATGTTCCGATTCGTCACTATTATGAGAAACAATGCTGTTTTCAGCGGCCGACAAAGCATTGGTTGACGACAAAAGTGCCGAAGGAACTCGGCGTCTTCTACTGAAATAGACCAACGAAGCAACTGCAACTGACAATATAAAGATATCTGGTAACACAAGTCTCATTGCACGGTAGGGTAGCATCCCCTCGAGTCTTTGGACGCCAATCTGAGCAGCAATTGATGCATCTTCACCTATATGAATGACTTTGAAAGTATAATTAAATAACTTACATGTTCGAAGTGCATTTTCATACGGTGGAGCAACAGTCAGAACTATGTGCAGCGTTGGGTGAGACAAAGTGAAAATACAACTTAGCGTTATGAGTAAGATAAGATAAACCTGAACTTTAGCTACAAAAATATGACAAATACTTCAAATTACTTGTGGATCTGGGACACTTGGGACGAGCGAGCAACGGGCAAGCCAGCAGAAATAATAAATAAATGAAAGAAAACCCATTGTACCGTACCACGGTAACTATGAACAATACGAAGGGGATAACGAAGCGCAGAAAAATCAAATCAATAATTCCAGGAATCATTACATAGAGACTGTGTAGCCATATCCTGGTCAAATGAAAAATCGTACCCCATTAAACTCAGCAACTATCTTAAAATTAGTACACAAACTGCCAGCAGTCTTTAGAAAAGTCTGGATCCTAGATGAGTAGTGAATACTAATGTAACATGAGAGCAAGTCTGTGTGTCACCAGACGTTGATCAGCTACAATGGTTGTCTACAGATAGGTGGATTTAGTTGCAAGGCCATGCACTGGTAGCGGAGGTGACTGAGCACTTGAAGGTCAAAGAGTTGCAAACTGATTGGTCAATCGACCTCTCAAACGAACAGATTTTCACAAAAGCGGCAAACCCAAAAAAAATCTATATTCAATGTAGCCAGATTTGTTCTCTACGTGTTATTTAAAAAGGACAGTGTGTATTTTACCTTGCTGGGCTAATTTTATTGTACATTCGTTCTTTTTGTATTTGTCTGTACCTTTGAGCCTGACAATTTACAGGATTTTTTCAAGATTTATGGTCGTCAGTTCATTTGAACTTTGGTATTTTTACGTTTAGTTTCTTTTGAAAACATCTGGTTGATGACTGGATAGTTCGAAAAAATCGATTTACAAAGTCTAGGCTGTTGATACCCTGTGGAAAGTGGAATTCAATGCAATGAGTGGAAAGGATGGTACCACGAAGTTCGTACAAATCTTCACTTTAAGCATGACATTCAGATGACAAAACAGCCACTGGACCAGATAGTGCCTTACGATATCTCACTTTGCCAAAGGTTTATACACTAGGGAAAAAATGAACTTGAAACTGAATCAAACCAGGCTGTAGAAAGTAGTACCTAGATCTCCAAATAAAAGGGACTTAATACTACAGAATGAACATAAACTAAAGGGGTCAAGAGTTTTTGTCCTTAAATCCCCACAGATCGTATAAAAAAAGCGAGAAACTGAAAAAATTAAATTTAAGTTTAGATACTGGTGGGAAAGACTCTAAAACTGCAAATCTTCAGGTGGTGAGACTTTGAAAAAGAATAGTGCCAGAGCCACTCTGTTTGCAACACAAAGCCATGGAAACGGGCTCCAGATCTGCTAAGCAAATCTTCGAAACTCTCGGCAAGTGATGGGAGTTGGATTTACAGATAGACTGTACCAATCCGGATGTAATCTCAGTCACGTAAAATTTGTTGGTGCAGTTCACAGACGGTACAGAAGTTTATTGTAAAACTTGTACATTAGTAAGAGCCGACAGAATCCAGAAGTGGTAAAGAGGAGGATCTCTATTCATTGGAAATACTATCCCACTTACCGCTATTGATAACACACCCTATGAAAGTGGGATGTGTGAACTAGTTAGATGCCGCTTGAAATCCCAAAGACAAGAGCTGCTGATTGGTTTGATCTACCACAGTACAAATTGTGGGAGTGAATGATATTTTAATAGACAACCTTAACACTTTGGTATCATGTGGTCGATGTCTAATCTTAAAAGGTTATAATTCAACTACGATGCACTGGAAAAACCTAAGGACTGAACAGTCAAGACTTTTCTTCGAACAAAAACTAGATGATATGATTATGATGTGTGCAACGACTCCGAATCAATCTAACTAAATCTCATATTGACTTATTATGAGGATGACTTCACATATCTCCATAATATTGTACCCCTAAGTAAAATCAACCGTGCAGTCTAGTCTTCGATTTCTATATACTATTCAATGACGAAGATGTGTCAGCCAAAGTCGGGAGTCAACAAAGAGTACGGGTGAACTGAAATTTGTCTAGCTGTGAAGCTGTGCTTAGTGGAGTGCACCAAAGCACAATTTGAAAGACAGTGTTGTCCCACTTATATCTAAATGACGTTCCTCCTCTCTTATTGTCATCGGTCTTGTTATACACTAATTCGGAAAGTGACACTACGCGTCATTGTTAGACAAGACTTGAAAACTATTGAACACTGCTATGAGGCAGCAGCCTAAACCTGTTACCGTGATAAGTTAGCATCTGATATGCCCTCATTTATCTTGTCTTTCAGAACAGAAAATTCACGAGGACACTTCAAAAATGTTCAAAAGCGCTAGACATCACCATCTTACAAAACGCTGAAAAACAAGTGATTATCCTCTCAGGTTTAATGCAATATTTAATATACTTTTTATGACAATTTACTAGTTCGAATAGTTCGAGTGGCTGTTGACAGAAAAGCGAAGGCCTTTGATTTTCTAACTTTCGTATCTAGTAACATTGGTTAACTGATGAAATTAAACACTCAGAAACATAAGAATTATTTAGCCATTCGGCAAAACAAATTAGGGAAGAAACTATTTTCATAAGAATGAATATAAAATAACTCATAGCCATAATTTATTTTACACTAGCAATATACTGTTTACCGATGTTTAATCACCTATATTTGGCTCCTACAACTTCATTGGAGACTTCATCCAGAGGAGTATCTGTAGAATTTATGATCTACTATGATATTAGTACTGCTCTAATAATAGACCTAATCCTAAATCTGTAGATTTGTCATGATATGACTGCCTAATCTATAAGATCTTACGTGGAAGTCACACCATCAACTACACCAACTCACTGTATCGTATCAATTACCAATACATGACGTAGAACAAGGTTAAGCTAGAGAAAGAACAATATATTTAATATGAATAGAAGATATAAGGTAACATTCAGCAGAGACCACGCCTGCATGGCCGAGCCATGCCGTTCGATCAACTCTAATTTATTCGATTCATTATTCGCGCCCTCTCCATCGTTAGGTATTTCTTCGCGTTAAATATTGAATACCTATTTTCCGAGTAATCTCGTATTCAGCTTTGAGGATAGTGTGGTTATGGTCCGATGCCACTACACTACTCTCCCACCAGAATCAACGTGGTGTTGGTTCGATACCCAATTGGATGGGACTGTAGTATGCCGAAGGTTACCAAGAATAGTAAGATCCCTCCGGGTGATGACAAGCTGAAAGATAAATCAAAAAGAAGACGGCAGTATCTGGTCGGGAAATACATGTAATAATTTTAAAATATCTGCCTTCATGCTTAACACGCTTACAATGAAAATTTGAGTGATTATTTGAGCTATAAAAAATGGGATTACAATAATAATAATAGTAATAATAAAACGATGCGTGTGTAATAGCCGTTGGTTGATAACTTAACGTATAGGTAGTAAGTATTTTGTGTTTAGAAATATTAAAGTTATGAATATTGTAGAAATGTTAATATTAGTACTACTTTTAGTCTAACTTATGAAATCAAATAACGATTATGCCGGTAAGTTGTCCATATGATCGATTTTCAATTGCATCTGTATTAGTAGGCTAACTGAAGGAACAAAAGTATTACTGTGGAGAAGAATTCCAACTAGTGTTCCAGTTAGTTTGATACGGTTTGTTTAGTTACGGGGAGATTTTCTCAACCTCATTTTTACTTGACCGTGATAGAATTTATTAATACTACTAATACACATGAATGGTTATCAAAACAAAATTTAAATACATGAATGGTAATTATGTGAATTTTGGACAGATAGCTAGGAACAAATCGTTAAACATGAGTGTATTCTTAAGAGACAAGCTCTAGACTCAATGTTCTGATCTGCGGCAGACTATTTATTTATATCTATACTTGCCGGCTGATTGGGTATACAAGTTAGTTAAAAGTATGCAGTTTATCATAAGGCGGAACACGATTTAATTGAGATATAGTGGTCATACGTTATTGAAATTAGTTAAACCTATGTGTCATATTACTAAGTGATGTGGTGCTGCAAGGTGTATTTGTCTAAATAATTTTTTACAAGATGATTAATAGTGAGTGATGCTCTTGTGATTATCAGGGAGAACATAAGTTGTAACCAAGGGGAGTGCACTCCCAACTCATGCCTATGATAATAGCTTGAACCTTAGTCAGTGTTGGGGTAAATTCGACATTGATGTTTTCAGTTTGCAGGATATTTGCTCGACTGCTTATACTGATTATTTGCATGCATGATTGTGTCGCTAAACCATCAATTAGACTGACAAAGTTTTGAGATATTTACTGAATGAGCAACTGATAGAGAAACATACTGTAATCATCTGTAGTGAATCAAGATAAAAGAAAAGCAACACTAGTGATAATCATAAGTCAATTTGCTGACCTATTTTGTTAATAGTTTCATTAATTTTATCAATCATATTACGTGATTGTCAAGTCATGACAATGCTTTATGAAGATATCCTGAAACTATTATGTTTAATTAGTTATAGTGTTGATTCAGGATTGGCCAGTGGGAAAAAAGGCATTGTTGCTTTAGGTGATTCGAAATCAGAAATTTGTAACGTTAAAGAATCCGAGACGCCTAATTTAATTATAAATTTTAATTCAGAAAGATTCGTTTAGTGTTAATTCTAGTAGGCTACGGAGTTTTGATTTTAAACGTTTGTTTAGCCAACAGCTACCTAGGGATTTAGTTATTTTACTAGTGCAGTTGATAGTACCTAAATTTTTAATCTTATTATCTAAACTATGTTCGCATTTTAGGCTGCTAATATGATAAACCAATCCATAAACCCAAATACGATTAGCAACAATGACTATGATGGGTTTATTGATAAATGTTAAAGTCGATTCAGATGATTTCTGGATTCAAAAGACATGAAGATATAGTAAAACGTATATACGGGCCAGGTTAACATGCAGGTTGTTGACGTATATGAAAAATTAAAAATAATGAACATGACCAGAAAAACAATTTTAAAGTTAAGACTGCTTGTGAAACTTCAGGCAGGAATATGACGCGTTATAAACATTCCATAAGAAGTTACTGCATTTAGCCTAGGGATACTTACAAATATATGGCAAAAGCAACTAGGAAACATACATGTTAAGTACAAAAAATCATTAAGTGAAATGGTTGAACTCGCCTGGATTATTTTTGAAAATTAGATTATTCAGTGGACGACATAAATAACGCCATTCGTGAGAAGTAATGATCCAAAAGTATCCAGAATAAAACATGCAGTATGGCAATTAATTCCAGGGTACTTGATGCTGTTGATGTTTTTGCCACTCGCTCGGATCAGAACAATCGAATGAATCCAGATAATTGTGTCAGCCATTGAACGAGCCATCTAAAATGACCTTATGATTGCAGGAAACTTATGGCTGAAACTCACCGTATGTTTTTAGAGAAGTGTCATCCTTGTTGTTTGGCAATGGAACTCGAGAATATGAAATTAGGCAGGCAG